AGGTCTAGCTGCTACTTTCTTAAATTTAAATAATACTATGATTACATGGGGCAATATCATTGGAAAATAAATAGAATAAACAGAAGAGTATTTAAATAGCTTCTTTAAATATTAACAACATTATAATTCATCCATTAAATAAATATATGAAACCAGAGCTGTCATCTAGTAAGATTTAGAAAAATTCAAGTCTAAATTACATTATAAGAAGGAAAGACTGTTTTAATTAGGAGATGTATCAAAATGGGATCTAAGCAAAGATATTAAATTGAATCCCTAAGAATTGTTATAAAATAAAAAGGTTGCATTCCAACATATGTGTGATTAAGAAACCAAATAGGAGATGGGAATGGAAATGCTAGTGGGATATTATACAAACTAAATATTTTCACAAACTCAATAATTCTTTAAATAGCAATAACAAGAATTAGTAGGGCATTTTATTAAATTTTGCTAAGTATAAGCTTTCAACATCACGGATGTAATTATTTATTTAAACTCAAGCATCATTAATTATGGGCTGATGCCATTACGAATCTACAAAATAATTTATTAATTCAATAGCGGTAGACGCAGAGAGTAGTTGTAGAAAGTATTGGTTGATAAATTGAGAGAATTTATTAATATTATTACAGTCATTCATCTATTTAAATTGTTAACATTAACTTAAACTCTTTTAATATCAATTAAAGATCCTCTCAATTTCGTTAAATATCTACTAATAATTAAATAAAGTCAAAGCCTAAATTCTTCTTTAAACATTATTTTATTCCTAAAATAATTCATTAAAATATCTGGTCTTTTTGCAAAGTAATACTTGCTTAATACAGCTATATCAAGATTTAATTTATCATTTAATTGATGTACTATTTAAATTAGTTAAGTAATAACATTTATGTTCTACTTAATGATCCTTTTATTATAATATCTACTTGTGGAAAATTCTAATTATTCTATAAATTATATTAACATTTTACATTAGTTTCACATGATTAAAAGAAAGAATAGCTTACTTGTAAAAAGCTTATCAAAATAATATCTAAACCTACTTGTGTGCCATTTCTAAAATTCATATAAACTGAATCATAACGAAAATTAATTCATTCAAAATCCAAAGTCTTCTCTAAAGTAACACTTGATATTGTGAAATAAATATCATCTGAAATTCTTTGCATTTATCTTCATATTAATTATGATTTTAGAATTTTTGAGTTGTTCAAATTAAAATATACTCCTGTTTCAAATTTCCTATAATATTATAAAAATAAAGTTAATGTAAGAGATCTATATTGGAGTTGATAACCCTAATTATCTAAAGTTTGATGATGGAGAAGTATTGGGGGCTTATCCTTTTCCTCACATAATATCTAAAATTGATGTTGAATTCAACCAATCCCATGTTATTGGAGTAAATGTTACATACAAAGTTGGAAATGGATAATTTGTATTAATTAAATGTTATTAAGGTATCTGGTCAATCTAGTCTCAAGTTCAAGAACACTCCTGCCTATGTTAAGACATTTATAGTCCCAGAAGGTAGATAATTGTTTTTAAAATAGGCGATTTTTTATCTGAAATAAATGGATGTTTTGAAAATGTCATCAATTCCATAGGATTTGTTACTTACAAAGGATATAAGGAGACTTTTGGAAATCCCATTGGGGTCTCATTTAGACACTTTTCACCGTAAAATACATTCACTGCTGCAAAAGGATCCTTCGACAAATGGTTAAATTTTATTGCATTCAGAGTTGTACCACTTCCACCTTATGCTATGCAATAATTTGTAAGCTATTTATCAACTACAATCTAGTATCCAGGAACCAACTAAAATTAATAGATGAATTAAGTTCCTCCATAATAACCCTTATAACAGTAGCCACCTCCATAATATCCTTATCCATCTAATAATTATCCACCATAGCAACAATAACAACAATATCCACCTCAACCTCCCAATTAATAAGGATATGTGCCTCCACCTCCTCCTATGCAATAAGGTTATGTCCCACCACCTCCTCCTCCTATGCAATAAGGTTATGTGCCTCCTCCTCCTCCTATGCAATAAGGCTATGTTCCACCACCTCCTCCTCCAGGTTAATAACCATATACTCCTTATCCTTCTACATATACTCCCCCATATACAGGTTATCCAGGATAGTAACCATATCCTTATGTACCTATTTTCATTTATTTTAGCCAACTTATTAACCATACCCATAATAAAACTCCACAACCATAGTTGAGGTAATAGACACTAATCCTTATGGAGGTGGCTATAACTCAAGCTATAACAATTACTATAATTAAAGACCAGGGATGGGAGTTGGAGCAGCAATGGGTCTAGGAATGTTAACAGGAATGGCAGTGTCAGATTTGACTCATCATAATCATCATGGAGGAATTTATGATGTAAATATATTTGGTATAAATCATTACTTATCAAAGGAGGCCATCACCATCACCATCACAGATATTGATTTTGATATTATAAGATGGAAATTAAATTTAATAACGATAATTGTAAGCTTATTACATAATATCAATTTATATTTAATGGAAAGAATTTGAAACTGCTTTCTATAAATAAAATAAGATATATTCTTCACCCAAGAATATCAATTACATCACTAGCAACTATATCTTGGTCTTATCATCAAGTTTTCTATTAATAAATTAAGTTTGTTTTATGTTATTTTTCTACAATTGTCTGTAATTTGATATCTTACACAAATTTTAATCTTTACTATATCGAATATATGAAAAATAGATTAAATACATATTATTAATATATATAATTATTATAATAATAATAATATTAGAAAATGTCTAAAGGGTTCAATCTTAATTTAAAAAATTCGAACGTGATGACTTTTGAATAAGAAAATGAATTATTTGCTGGACAAAGTATAAAAGTAAAGCAATTCTAATATCTAGCTAAATTTTAAATTGGGGGATAAGTAATTTGATTTGGAGGTAAACATTATTTTCTCATAACAAGTTAGTTTAAAGTAGGATAAGATGTGGAATGGGCTAAAAAATGTGTTGCAGAATAATTAGATTGCGGAAGAAATGACTTTGTAATATAATTTAAATAAGTAAATAGGACTTGATATTTGAGGAAAAGGTAATGCCAGAATTCTTTTCATTAAATGATATTCCCAATTTAAAGGATCAATCATCAATTTAAATAAGAATGAAGATATGATTCTATAAATATAATGTATATACAAATAAATGAAATTGTTTCACTCAATTCTTTTATAAAAACTTTGAAATAAGTCCTACCTTATTTAATCTTATAATCGATAAACCCATATCAAATGTCTTAGATCTCCATATCACTTAATTAGTAGCCATATTAAACCTTAACACATACATTAATAACATAAAAGACAAGTTACAAGATAATATAGTTGATTTTTATTGAATTATTTTAATTTATAGAAGTTTTAAACTATTGAACTAAAAAGGAGAGATTGCATAATTACATTTGTTTTTACTCTTGAAATTAATTAAAATATTAAGAAAATCAATTATTCTTAAATTTTATAGTATGCTAAGATTATTGAAGTCATAAGATATCTATAAATAAAAAGTATATTTTAATTTTCAAATTATGTTTTAATCACCTGATATGATAAACAAACTGAATAAGATAACTTAAACATCTACTTTTAATTACCACTAAATCTACAATCAATAGATATATTCTCTCTAAAGTTCATTTATATTATTATTTTATTAGTAGACACTTTTCACTTAATTAATAATAAATTACTAAAATCATATTAATATTTTCTCATTAGTAAATTTATAAATTGAAAAATATACCCCATAACTAATGAAGAAACATCTTAAAAGATATATATTTATAAGGCACTCACTCTCATAGATTTTAGATTTATCTCCTTTCCATTCTCTTGGATAATTCTTTAAAGATTAACAGTAATAACGGGTAGTAAGTTATTTAGTTGAATTGTTTAAAGGAATCAAAACATCAACAATTTAATTAATTATCATATTTAATCTATAAATATCATTATATATATGCTTGAATTATAAGTCAAGTTTTATCATTTATATTTGAACAATTATGATTTCATACTATGATATTTTAAAATTGGCTTTTCAACTGGAAAGACATTATATTATGGACTGATTGGATGATATCCCTCATAAGGTTGAGCCTCAGAAACAATGGTTTTTGCTTTAGGTTCTTCACTTAAATAAAACCGTCCGTATTTCTATGAGGAGGGCAAGTAATCATCTAATTTATTATCACTTAAATTCATTGGATCTGATCTTAAGAGATATCTCTGGCTATATTTTCCATATCTATTGATGTGAGCTAAATTAAAAATCACTATACCTTAAGTTGGAATGGGTTGAATAGGTTTGAAATCAGTAACTTGCTAGGATTACTATAAAGATCTACCTTATGATGATATATTCTCGGTAAAACTAAACTTTAGGAATCTTTAATTAATTATTAATCACTTTCTTAATCTTTACACCCTTCTTAATCTGCATTCTTCCAAGTCATATCAATCTAAACTTTATGATTTTAGTGCTCTCAATTTACTTAAAATAGATACCTTGATTCAATTTCTTTTGATAATTACCTTCGCCGTCATACATTATAAATTTTGCCATAGGTCTTGACTTAAGTTAATAATTATATATACCCCAAGAATTTTTGTTTTAAGTTCTTTATATGTTCCATCATGCTTTTACTTATTTATTTCAAACTATTCAATGCATTTTCCACAATTCTTGTGTTTATCCAATTTATCCATTATTATTAAATAAATTATATATATAATAGATTTATCTTAATGGATATGATTTAGAATATCAAAAAATGATGGAAATATCTTTAAATTTCAATTATGTTCATATCAAATAATTTATTACTATTTATTGAAACATAATATAAATTATAGAAATAATCTAATCTCAAATTGTAAAATTTAAAAAATAATAAATTAAAAGCATCTCTAATCATTTATATTTATTTTCAATATATATCAACATTTTATTCAAGCATCTGCTTTATTTTGGAAAATTTTATTTTTCTAAACTCTTTCTTAAAAATCTTATTACTTATTAGAACTCTTTTTATATGTTTGAAATGCTTTTGGATCGAGACTACTATTCGTTTTTGTTTTTGCAGCATTACAAGTAACTATGCCTACTTGTTCATCAAAAATTGGACTTAAATAATGATTCAATCTTACGTTATATTTGAAGAGTTTATTTATGTAGAGAGAATTGTAACAGAGAATCTTTTGTTTGATTTAAACTTGTTTTAAGAATACTAAAGTCTTAAATCACTTTAAAGATTAATGTCCTATTGAGTTGATGATCTTTTATCAGTTAAATAATTTTTAAATTCCATCATACTTTCTTATCTTCTATTTAATAAACCCATTTTCTTATAATGTTTTCTAATTATTTGATCAAGATCCTAGAATTTTGGATTTTTTTAAATTTCTTTCCTATTTTAAGAACTGCTTTGATTCTATTACATTTTTTTATCTTCATCATTTTGTATTGATGAGCATAGAGTTCTTCTTGATGTAATTGGTTTTTCCGAATATCCTAGAATCTCTTCATTTTCATCGATTTTATCAAACCTATCCAAATTTTTGAAACTCTATTTTTAATTAATTTCCTATTATTATTTCTTAATCTCCATTGTTTAAAGCTTTTCAATAATTTTCGAGTATAGATTTGATTTCATTTTTATTTTTTCCAATTCTTCTCTCTTATGTAAAATTGAATTGATACCTGCATATATTAATTTGAATTCTGCTCATTGATTGATAATTCCTAGTTCTTTTCTTTGATTTGAAGTTTAATGTTCTCAATCAAAGGAATCATAGACTATTGAATCTTTTTACATGTTTACGAATAATTGAATCTTTATAATAAAGTTATTAGTACTTACAATTTAAGGACTCGTCAAGTTCATATTAATAAGAGCATCTGTTCATTTCTTAATCAATTTTATTTTAAACTTCTTTAGACTTAGAAAGGGATAATAAAACTCTACTGAACTTTTTCCCTTTTTAGAATGTATTCAAAATTTTAATTGGACCATCTACAATCTGCTTTTATGCTATTAAACGCCTTTGTAATTGCTCTAGTTTAGGTTTAAATTGATTGGTCAACTTAAGGAAATCTTAAGAATACTATTTTCTTCTTTAAGTGTAGAATTCAATATTTTCGCTAGTTAATAACATAAATATTTAATTTTTGGAATAAATCAAAGCACTATTATTACTCATTTTCTTTATGTGTTTTCTATATTATTGTTTTATAACCCACTCTGATTGAGATATTATACTAATTAGAGGTTGAAGAAATGAATAAATAAGAACAGTATTATATACCAATGAATAGGATTCCTTTACAAAAACAAAAAAATAAAAATAAATAAGTTAATGATAATAATTATGGTAAGTATGAAATTAAAACCATAAAGGAACTTTATTGAACAAAGAAATGAAGGTATCAACCTATAATTTGAGGTTCATAATAAATTTTGTGAATATCTGAATGAATTTACTTAATATATAAGCAATCAAAATTGTTAAGAGAGGGAGAAGTTAATGAATCATAAATTAAGGAATATTTAAAAATCAAAGGAAGAATAAAATAGCAAAAGCAAGATTTCAATTAAATTTTCTCTTTGAAGGATATATCTAACTCTGAAGTTGAAGACACTTTTATTTTAGCATTAAATACACTTAAAGCTGACTTGGAAATACTTGATTTCAATAATTCTTTGATATAAGAGTATTTAATCTAAAGACAATTATTTTCAGCGCAAATACAAATTTACTCAAAAAACATAAAGTAATTCCTATAATTGCATTTTGATTTAATTTACATAGAAATAATATTGCCTGTGAATATGAAAATTTTGATCTCATTCCCTAATAAATAAACAGTAGCGTTATCGAAGATTCAAGAATCCAATTACATTGGTTCACACAATTATAGTGATTTGTTTAATCATTCTTATATCCTTACAGACAAATTAAGTAATATTTAAAAAAAGAATCTACCTAAAAATCACATTCTCATTTTCTGAATTGAACAATATATGTCTATAATTATTGATAGATTGGAATTATAATATTTTAGAAATATACTATATATTAATAGCAAAAATTGAAGTAGAATTAGTAATTTGATTTGAATTATAAGAATAATGAAAGAATTAAATAACCCATAAAATGATTATCAAATTAAATTCTAATATATAAATATTTAATTCAATAAACTGATAAGGGAGTTGGGTACCAGTTCACCTTAAGGCACACATATTACGAAATTGCGCAAGCAATTATTCACAATGCCTGAGTAAGTTCTGAGATGCCGTTAATTCGAAAGAATATGAGACTTCCTCCAGAAATCTATTTCGCTCTGACTTAGAGAAGAGGATTGTAAAATCTGATCGTTAGAGTGAAAGTGAGAAGGGGGTTTGGCATAGCATATTAAGTGCAATAGGTGATATCCAATTCAATTCAGGCTACTCGGTGCCTAATTCTCCCACACCCTTTTTATGGTTTGTTAATTGTTTAATAATTTTAAAAATATTATTAATTAACAAAAAAACCAAATAAATATAGATAATTCAACCTGTGGATTTTGAGACATTTCGAAATAAAAATTTTGAATCTGTGGATTAAGAATTTAAATTTTCTTGATATTAAGTAATTTTTTGTCCATTTTTATGATAATCTAAAAATACTGGAATTTGATTAATGGGAGGTAATTCATTATTGAAATACTCTACATGAATATCATCATCGCTAAGTAGTTGTTTTGTGTTCGATGTTTAAGTATGAAAACTAGCCCTCACTTGGGACAGTAAAAGAGGAATATTCCGAGTACTGATTCTAAAATTTTCTCTAAAGAAGTGATGTTATAAGGCAGATGTAGCTTTGATTCTCAATCGAGGATCTTCTTGCAACATTTCTGATAGTAAATTTTAAGCAGTTATTGGGATATGGATCAATGATAAATTTTAAATGTTACATAGGCATCTTCTATTAGCTGATAAGATTTCATTTTGAGTTTCCCCATAAAATAAATCCTTCCTCAACAGTCTTAAAAATGATAAGAAATTTAAATTTACAGTTTATAGAATACACATCCTACAGAAAAAATGTCGCTCTCTAAACCATATTTTCCATTTTTTAGATTTATTATCTCAGGAGCCACATAACCTGGAGTTCCGCATTTCTTGAGTTCTTTATTGGGCTCTAGTTTTACAGAGAGACCAAAGTCGACTATTTTGAGATCTATTTTCTTTTCCTGAATATTTAATATAATATTCTCAGGTTTTATGTCACGATGAATTATATTTAGAGAATGCAGATAGGCAACACCCTGAAGTAATTCCCAAAGAATATTCTAAATAATTCTTACATTTAATTAATGTTTTAATTCTTTAATGTATGAATTTAAACTTTGCCCCCTGCAATACTCTAAGACTATATAATAGGTGCCATCACCAACATAGAACTCTTCAAAGCGAGGCAGATTAGGATGATTTAACTGTTTGAGGATATTTAATTCATCAAAAATTCCATTCTAATTAAATAACACTTCTGCTGTACCATTTTTTCAACCGAATTCTAAATTGCCTCTTTAGTAATACATTTCGTGACATAATTATCACTTTTATCACTTTTCCTCACAACTTAATAAACTTGACTGTTGCTGCCAGTCGCCAAATGTTCTGTAGCTTCATAAAAGTCTTATACTTTAGTGAAAGAAACAAACTTGGAAAGAATCTTCTTTAAAATGAGTAAGTCACTTTGTTTAACATGAAACCACTTAAATTTTTTGGGTGATGTCCAGAAGCCAAAAGCATTTTCTTTTGGTGTAAGTTGCCATGAAATTTAGGAGGACCAATTTAATGGGACGATGTACTTAGGAGTATCAGGTCTCTTGGGCTATAGAGATTTTAGATGATCATTTACATTTGTTAGTGTGAGAGCATTATCAGTGAATCTAATCTCATAAATCTGATCAGCAATAAGATGCTTACGATAACAAATGATGATTTCAAACATTTGCATAATAAATAAATTAAAAATTCAGAATCTATAACATTCATTGAGATACGACTACACTTCTGTAAAGAAACGACTTTGGAGGGCTACATTCTACAGAATCTCTTACATTTATGTTCTTCCTCAAGTACAACTAGTTCTTGATGTTATGTAATTATTTTAAGAGTCTTTTTTTACATATTTTTCTAATTTTTATCTTAATTATTCAACTACACAAACGCAAGTAACATTTTGTCAAAACTAAGTACTTCAGGTATGTTCTCTTTAAGTATTATTGTTTTAGGTGGTTTGGCTACATATTATTTTTTAGGTTCGAGGGTTCGGAGTTGCAATTCTTTCCTCTGAACGAAAAGAGATTTTTCATAAAAGGAATCTGCTGATTGCTCAATCCTCCGTTCCATAGGTTAAGTAGAATTATATCTTCTCTTAAATTTTCTAAATATATTTCGATTTTCCACTAACACAGGAAAGAAAGGCTCTTTTTCAGTTAGAAGCATTATATTTATATTAAAATAATAAGAGGATATTAATATAAAGAAACTTCAATAAACATATTTGATATTGAGTGCAATGACATCAAATATTCTTTCATCAATGTCAGTAATGAAGATGCGTACTAGTTCTTCACTACCCGGTAAGACTCTGATTTTGAACTGAACAATTTCATTAGGTCCTGTAGAGATATTTTGATCAATAATCTAATGGAACATACTAATAAATGATTACTTTCACAAATTCACTTGAAGATACAATATTATATTAAGTAGTGTAATTAACTTAATTTTTGTAATTGACTTAATGACGAGATTCTCTTCCATCTATGCATCTAAAACATTAATTAAAACATACCTCAAATCATAAGTAGCACTTGGGGGTTAAGGCTCGGCATGAACATTCACTAGCCAAGAATAAATTAGTTCTTGAGAGTGAATGTCAACTCCATTCAATTTAATTAGATGTTTCCCATCCTATAGAGCCAAAATATTAATGGGAACTAAATTTATTTTGCCTGGTAACATCGTGATTTCAGAATCAAAAGGTTTAACAAAAGATATCATTTTATTGGAAGATGTCATTTTAATAATACGAGTAATATCACAAGGAAATGTTATTTTAGTGCATACTTTTTAACCCAATGGAACTTCAATGTCTATTGTGGATAAACTATAAACTTCTATCTTCCAATTGGCTATTATTTTATGCTGATATTAATCTTAATACAAAAGGATGTTGAATATCTTGACACTCTATGGTTCTCCTATCCTAAGATTCAATCTAATTGAATTAAAATCAGATGACCATTCAATCATGACATCAGGATCAGTGATATGTACATGAGGCTATTATTGTAAGGGTTAGTTGAATAATCTAGGTATTATAAGTCTAGTCTAACGATTCTCTCTTTCATAAAATCTAAGCACATGATCAATTGGCTATTAATGAGGCTCAACAATTATACGTAGTCCATCCATCATCTTACCATCTTGTTATAATAAAATCGTTATGTGACGAGATTACATATATTTTTTGATATATTCAGGTGTTCTATCGTGATCATCAACTCTATAATCATATTACCTAAAACTTATAAATTTGAACAACAAAGTAACCTCCTAATTAGGATCTAATATGAAATAATATTAAGTTTTCCCTTAATTTTCTTTCATTCTAATTAAATCATAATTTTCAGGTTCTGGGTATTTGTTATTAGTAACCCAATATTTCCATTCAGCTGGATTACCAATCAAAAAGAATTCTTAATATTCTAACATTCTGCTTTCTGGATCCTCTATATTTACAGTGAATTATTCTGGTTTTGGATGAGTATTCTTAAAATAAAGTGGAACTATTTCACATTTACCATAAAATGAATGAACTACTTTCTCATTTTATAAGAATCCTTACATAATTGTTTTTACTAATGATGGCTTTTTTATTTCTTTATATTTTAACACTTCATTTAATGATCTTTATTGGCTCTATTTATTTTTAATCATCTCTTATAAATTTTATTGTTTGATCTTTTTAATCCTATCTTAAATACTATTTCCATCAAAAGCTTAAGCAGGAACATCCATTCTATTCACTGGCTTCTCAGATACTAATTTCTTTTTCTATAATCCATTAAATGTGTTTTCCAAAGGAACGGTTTTACTCATGTCTTATTAACCAATTTTGCCGATATTTTTAATGACAATCTGTAATGTCCCTTTAGCCTTCTTCGATTGAGGATCAAAAATTTCAACATCAGCCATTATTTAGGCATTTTGTTTACCTCCTCTCATTATGCCTCTCAATGGTATCCTAACACTACCAAATAAAAATAAACTCTCACTATCCCAAATATCCAAAATTAAGTTTTTATTGAATAAATATCTTGCAAAATCTTAATCCAAATTTGCATATCTTTATAAAGATGTTTCAATGTTAAATTTACAACTGAAAATCTCATTATTATACAATAATCTTAAGGGATTACCATTCTCCAAATTATATTTAAAATTTCTTTCATCATTATAATATTCCAGATTTAAGAATGGTGATTTGAAGGTCTATAAATCATAGAATATAATTCCTATTTAAACTGATTTACAAATAGGATATGGTCCTAAAACTTATTTCATAGAAACTGGTTATATTACTATTATTTGGTCCTTCCTTTCATCTTACATTTCAAGTGCCATCAATCTATTTTCTTAATCCATAGATGTAGGATCATCAACTAAAGCAGTAACATCTGTGCGAGTTATAGGTTTCAATGTGGCTGAAGGTACAGGGTATGCATAAGAATCTATTGGTTTTATAACAGTATTTTAAGGTTTTGCCTCAGCCAAAACCACTGGAGGAGCAGCAGTCCTCTCAACTGTTTTCTAATCTTTAATCAATTTCTCAAGTCCTTCGAATTACCTAGCTTAAGTAAATTATAATAATCTATTCTCTTCTCTTAATTTTTCAATTGCTTATAAGTATTCTTATTATTTTTGGGGATCCGAGGTTTGCTAAATTGCTAATCTTCTTAATCTTTCATTTTCCTCTTATAATCTCAATAATTATTATTCAAAATCCTTCAATTTTACTTATGTTCTTATATCAATATCTGATCCTCTTACCTATTCTTACTTATTTTAGTGTTATTATTAAACTGCTTAGTGTTAATTCAAATTAGTTTACTATTAGAATCCCTGCTAAGGAATTTATTAGTATCCATACTATTAAGGAGCTTATTACTATTACTAGGCTGCTCCCATATATAAATCTTGAAATTAAAATCCACCTCCAGAAAGATTAAGACTACCTTTCAATTTAATCGATGAATCAGGGTTCTAAAATGATACAAGTGGTCTACCATCCAACGTTTTCCCTGGTCCTATAATAAAGTCTTCCTCAATGAGTTCGTCAGCACCAAATTTATTATTAATGTAAATAGGAATCCATCCGAGTGTCAATTACATAGTTTCCTTAGTTAGATTTGATACTAGGAACATAGCTTCATATTCTAATTAAGCTACAAGCATGCCTGAATTAACTGTAGGGTCAGTTGAGCAAACATTATTGATATCAATAACACCATGATATGCTAATTATTTGTATTGGATTTGTTTCTAATCGACAAATTCATTTACTAGCATTCTTGTTTCTCCAAGAGGCACAAAGTTATTTGTTCCTCTAGTATTTATAAATGTCCAGCCATTATGAAATGCTACAATCAATCTTTTATTTATAATCTAAATGTCTCCTTTATAGTCATCAGGAGTTCTGTATTTATAAGTCCTATATCTCTATACTTATCTATATATATCTGCTTCCATAGTATCAGGAATCAGCACTTGTATTTTACTCATGGAATACAACCATACCTTCGCGATAATTCAAAATCCCCAGCGACAAAACTCTTTTTAAGTCCTGGTAATTCATCCCCTAATCCACATAATGCGTTTTCTGGAGCCAAATGCATACTTATTTGAAATTCTTCACTCTGCACAATATCACATGTTACATTGATACCAGAGGATTCAAAGTTCACCTATTAACCCAATAATAAGATTCTTGGACTTCCCTTTCTGAAATTGAGCTTTGTTGATTATGTAGTAATGGTTAATGCTGCTAGTTCACACCAACCCAAATGCATGCGTTTTAACACTAAATCTTATTGAGATTCAAATGCTTATATTTCCAGAATTATCAACAAAGGCATATCCTTATTATTTAGAATTCTAGTATGGTAATAGATCGGTATGATTGGATGTTCATAATTTACTCCATCAGGTCCAAATTCCACATTTAGACGTGGACTATTATATGTTCTTCCAAAAAAGCACTTTTCTCCTTGCGAGTTTTAAATAAAAAAGTTGGCAGCAACTGAGAATTGTAAATTCAGAACAGGATTCTAAGGACGTCTGAGTCCCCCTATTCGAGACACAATCAACTTAAAAGCTTTTGAATCTAAGCCCATTTAGATTGGGATTGAAGAGGGTAGACTCTTATGCATCTTCTAAAATTTTAGAAACTTCTTTATTGAGTTTATGTCTTCGGTTGACATTAATATTATTGTTTGAAATAAAAAATATCATCTGTAAAATTATATTTATCATTCCTTATTGATACTTCTCATTTCTAAAGGTATATTGAATGGTCCTTTGAATTTATGAAGAATGCAATTATGATAAGTTATACAATTTTTTATTAATTTAGTTCATCTATAATACTATATATATCATTGTTTTGAATCTTCATTATCCCAGATGTTATCCCCTTCAAATACCTCTCCTTATTCTTAATTCTCCTCTTCCATAGCTAATCTAACATATTCCTGGTATGCAAATCTATCCCAATCAGTAAAATCTGGATGATCAACTATGTCATTTCTTACTTGAAATGGGTCTCTATTTTCATAAGCAATTAATTTATTTAAATTGGTCAAGAAATTGAAGAACACTCCACAAACAGTCAGATTCTATTTGAAATGACTTAATTTAAAGAGGATATCATTTTCAGGATGTAGAAGATCAACCATTTAACAAACAAAATCATGGAATAAAATAGGTTCATGATTTAAATAATCCATTCTCTATTTCAGTTCCTCATAAAAGTAATCCATCTCAAATCCTGTAATAATTCCATTGTCATCCAGATCAATAATCTTGAACCAATATTCTATGGATTATATAGTAGTCTTATCTTCTTCACATAATATGAAGTAAATGAAATCCTCATAGGACATCTTCTAATCTATTTAACTTCTGAATCTACGGAGGAATCTGATCAAATATTCTATCGACAACTTTACGACTTAGACCATGACTGGAATAACGAGAGAAGTCTTCCTTGCTGATATGGAAATCGTGATCACCATCTAATTCCCAGAATTTGCAATAAATAACATAGAAATGTTCATATGAGAAATATTATCTGATCTAATATAGGAACTATGAAATAATACTTTGTTAATATCATCTTCCTTTCCCAATATATCCAAAATATCAAATAAGTTACTTGATTTGAAGTCACGCCATGTAATTTTATTGTTATCCTTTCGACATAAATGAAAGAATATTCTATGAATTACTGTGTCTGCATATCGTTCTTAAAATTCCGGTGTTGCTTACAAAAATTCCAACCCCGGATGCTATTCAAGTAAAACTATTTAGGAAAGAGAATGTAGTACTCTTCATGAAAGGTTTGAAATCATCAAATTAAATGAAGTCATTCTTTGGTTTTTTGAGAATATGAAAACACCTCTGTTTTGGTTCTTTTTATGCTAATTGCTAATTCCAATACTTGATAAAAGCGGTTTTACTAATTTTGTTGCCTGTACCTTCTACTGCTGTCATTAGAATTCTTGTTAAGTATTTGCATAGACCACATAAATTTGTAGTGATCTGCTCAAAATGACTAGCGTCGATTTGTTCAGCTTTACCAAATATTTCGTAAATAATTTTCTAAAACCCTATAAACATATGGATTATACATTCTATTCTTATTGTAATTATAAATTGATCTCTTATGTGGGGAAATAGAATTGTGGAACCAAATCGTAATTTTATACCTCCTCTACATGAAGCTTTTTCTATATTATTTACGATTAGGTCAATGATTATGATAAATCATCTGGAATACGCTATTTAATTTCATGAAATGAGTCTGCACGAGGAGGAGTTGAAGGACCTTAGCTTTTTTTGTTAGGTGAGCTTAAGAGTGCACTTTGTGACATCCCAGACATAGTCATCTTATTTGTGAAAAATGCATTAGGTTGAGTAATTAGATTATTTTACTTTCCTTCCCGCACATCCTTTATCAGTTGATGTACTAACTTTTAAGTTTAAGGTAGAGTTAGCCATTTAATGAAGAGATCATCAACTCGAGTTTTGGCCAATTAATATCTAATATTCTAAGTAAGTGGGAAACCTGCTCCAACTCCTTCAGAATACGATTTCTAAAGCATAAAATAATTAAAATATCTTTTTAATTCTATGTTTGCAATCACAAAGTAGGCACTGTTTAGATAATAAGCAATGAAACTCATGAATCGATTTGCTGTAGTTGCCAATAATAAGCCAGAAAAAGGACCATCTCAAGTATTGTTAAATTAATGATAAAAGGGCCATTTGACAGACAAATACACAGTCATAGATCACACTTATGATGCAGTAGTTGTAGGAGCAGGTGGAGCTGGTTTAAGAGCAGCATTTGGTTTAGTTGAATTAGGTTTTAAGACTGCATGCATCTCTAAGTTATTTCCAACAAGATCCCATACTGTTGCAGCACAAGGAGGTATCAATGCAGCTTTAGGTAATATGACAGAAGATGATTGGAGATGGTATTTATGCTCAAAATTTACATAGGCATGCATATGATACTATTAAAGGATCAGATTGGTTGGGAGATTAAGATGCTATTACATATATGTGCAAAGAAGCACCTAAAGCAGTTTATGAATTGGAAAGTTATGGTTTACCATTCTCTCGTACTCCTGAAGGCAAAATTTATTAAAGAGCATTTGGAGGTTAGAGTTTGAAGTTTGGAACAGGAGGATAAGCTTATAGATGTTGTGCAGTGGCTGATCGTACTGGACATGCTATGTTACATACACTTTTTGGCAGAGCTTTAGGGTATGATTGTATTTTCTTTGTTGAATATTTTGCACTTGATTTAATGATGGATGAATAAGGGTAATTTTATATTTATTATAAATTTGTAGAGCTTGCAGAGGAGTTGTATGCATGTCGATGGCAGATGGATCTATCCATAGAATAAGAGCTGGATATACAGTAATCGCAACTGGAGGGTATGGAAGAGCATTCTAATCATGTACATCAGCACATACATGCACTGGTGACGGTGGTGGTATGACCATCAGAGCAGGTTTACCCATGGAAGATTTAGAATTTGTATAATTCCATCCTACTGGTATTTATGGATCTGGATGTCTTATGACTGAAGGATGTAGAGGAGAAGGAGGTATTCTTAGAAATTCATTGGGTGAGAGATTTATGGAAAGATATGCTCCTACTGCTAAAGATTTAGCTAGTAGAGATGTTGTTTCAAGAGCTATGACTAAAGAAATATTAGAAGGAAGAGGGTAATTATCATGTTATTATTATTCCTAGAGTTGGACCAGAAAAAGACCATATTTATTTTGCATTTAAATCATTTACCTGCTGAATTGTTGCATGAAAGATTACCAGGTATCAGTGAAGCAGCTAAGATCTTTGGCTGGGAAGTTGATGTTACCAAAAGAACCAGCACCAGTATTACCAACAGTCCATTATAATATGGGTGGAGTACCTACAAATTTCAAAACAGAAGTGCTTAATTAAGTTAATGGAAAAGACTAAATTGTTCCAGGACTATTAGCAGCAGGTGAAGCTGCTTGTGCCTCAGTTCATGGTGCAAATAGATTAGGAGCCAATTCATTATTAGATATTGTTGTCTTTGGAAGATAGGCTGCCAATTTAGTAGGTGAAAAATGGAAGCCAGGATAGAAACAACCAGATCTTCCTAAGAATGCTGGTGAGGCTGCCATTGCGAGAATTGATAGACTAAGACATCATGAAGGATCATAAACTATTGCCTAAGTTAGAAAGGATTTATAGAGAACCATGTAGAAACATGCAGCTGTATTCAGAATTGAAAAGACTCTATAAGAAGGTGTGGAAAAAGTTAAGGAAATCTATTCAAGAAAAGATGATGTTAGAATCAAAGACAAGGGATTAGTTTGGAATTCTGATCTCATTGAAGGATTAGAATTAGAAAACTTATTATGTACTTATTAGACTTAAGATTAGTATAAGGAAAAATGACTATAGAAGGAGCTCTCAACAGAAAGGAATTCCAGAGGTGCTCATGCAAGAGATGATTTATCCTGATAGAGATGATAAAAATTGGATGAAACACACTCTTGCTAGAATTCAAGATACTAAGTCAGGAGATGTTCAATTGACTTATAGAGATGTATAACTGTTCCTTAATATAATCATAGGTCATTACAAAAACTCAGGATCCTAAAGAATTTGACACTGTGCCACCAAAGAAGAGAGTATATTGATAATTATAAATAAAATATATATGATTATTTAAAACCACTTAAAACTGAATTTCTAATATATCTTTATAACGAGTAATTAATACCTTGTTTTACTTTGAAAATGACTATTTGATATAATTATTTACAAATTATCTATTTCATTAATAAAGCCTATATTTATTTTAGATGAATAATTAATTCTATTTAAAATAATATTATAGTTTCTGTGTTATTAAATACAATAAAGAAGAATAGAATACAATAACCTAATACAATAAGTATTTTTCTAACTTCATTTAAATAACTATATCAATATTTGTTATTATTTTATGCAAATATAATAGTTCCATTTGTAAATTTACAACTTTGATGTAATAACTTAAACTAAAAAGCCATCAAATTGGATTTTATCAGAAAAGCTGAAAAATACAAAATCAATTTTATAGACAATTCCACTAAAAATTTGGCAATAATGTTCTTGGAAAAAGTTAAACTGCAAAATTTATATTGTCTTAATTGGGTGTTAGAATGACTTTTATATAAATTAAATCGTTAGAATAAGCGAATCTAATTCGAAAAAGAATAAAATATTTCTTATATTAGTTATTTATTATTATCACTAATGAAAATTAATGAACGTTTGTAGTTCTAATCAAAGTAAGAGGAAATTAATTTGGATAAGGAGGTCTCTGAGATTGCTTAAAGAATCATGGAAAAAGTTCAATAGAGATCAACTGCTAAGTCAGGTCAAAAGGAGTTGCCTTCTTAATATCTTAGAGCAAGTGATTACTAGGCTAGAAAATTGTTCCAAAGCTATTAAATTGAAATTAGAAGACAATCTGAGAAGGTTACTAAAGGGCCAAGTCAAGAGATGAGGAGAAAAGAAGAAGCTCTTCTTTCTGATTTTAAAGTCAATAAATACGAGAAGCCTTAAGAGTTGATCCGTTTTGAGAACTAATTAAGAATGGGAGACTTAAAAACACCTTTAAAAAGTCCAGTTTAGCCTAATGATTAAAGACATAATGATATACATTAAAAGACAGTTAAATTGAATAATTATGAGAATATTGGTTTTTAAGAACAGAAAAGTGAGAAAATGAAGTAGATCTAAATTATGTATAAAATTAACTTTAGTTTAGGAATGAACATAATCAGTAATTAAATTATCAAATGCACTAACTTAGCAGTAGAAGAATTTCATCACCAAAACGAGATCAATTAAAATTTGATAGCAATTTACAAACTAAATCTTCTTTGAGTTTTAAAACTACTTAATTATAAACTCCGGTTTCTGTCTCATTCAAATAATAAGATATAGTAACCCAACTATTGGGAAGCTTGAAGAATTAAAAAAGAAACTAAGGAGATTATTCTACAAAACGATGAAAAGCTTAATCTTTTGACTTTTAAACGATATAAATTTTACTTAATTGTTAATAAAATAAAATATTTATTAATAAACTTATTTTCTTGAAAAATTATTATTTTCACAAATTTAAAACTAGTACTCTACCTCAAGCCCAACCTTAAAAAGACTCACTCAAAATTCTATGATATCTTTAAGGTTTCAATTCTGAGAATATGTAGATAATAGATAAATACCTAATGTTGTTTTTAATTTTATGGGATGTCGAGCAGGTTTACTAAGACCATCTTTCTTTTTATATCCATTCTTATTGTCGCACCAAAGAAATGAACAATCAGTTGCTCGGCTTGTAATAAATAAGGAATTCGAATAAAGTTCCTTCTAACATTAAATTCGGAATTATTATTTTTTTGGGCGTTGTATAATGTCTTTGCTAAGTTTGATATACATTTTACAATTCGATTTTTGGCGATTACTTTGAAATGTATTGATTTTTTTTCGGGTATTTTAATGAATAGTCTACCCTTTTTTAGAGTTCTTACAGAGAGTTAAATGTTGCTATATGATGTTAATGTGAATCACTTTTCTGAAACTCATATTATAAATATTATTGTTCCTTTTTTAACTGTTCATAATTTATGACAGGAACATTTGCTTTAAAAATTGGGCCAATACGAAACCTATTTTATGTAAAATTCATTAATTTATTAATAAATGAAATAATATTGAGCTTTACTTTTAATTAAAAAAAAATGGGAAATTACGAATTCTAATGATCATTTAAAAGCTAGAATTATTTTAGTTGTATATAAAAATGTTTTTCTACTGATCATTCTGTTGTGTTGGAAATAGAATTATTTAATGTATTGAACATGAGCATACACTTATACGAAAATTGTAAATTAATCAAGATAAGATATTATATATTATGGATTATAGAAAAAGGCAAATTGAAGAAATATAAGAAAATAAGATTGCATTTTTTGTTATAAAATTTAAAAATCCTCAATATTTGTTTATTCTTAAAGATGTAACAAATATATTTAATTAATAATATTTGTTAAGAAAAACATAAATCTACATAGAGTAGATGAATTATATATCCAATTATACTGTTTTTTTTAATTATTCTAAACTATAGATTATATAGTGAAAATTAAAATAACTAATTAAAATATTACATATCTATTGGGAAAACATAAATTCTAAAGAAAATTAATTTCTTTTTAATTTTTGATATATTAAACATAACGATTTCAATCTTACTCTATTATTAAGTCGATGTTTGTGATTCATTCCAGTATAAGGGTTGTAAAAACTATGTATTTTTATATTACTTAATTAAATATTTATCAACATGCCTTTTGTAATTGTATTTTTAATTTCTGATAGAAATTATAAATTTAGAAAGTCTATTAATATTCATTTTTATATTCTATAAGAATTACAAATATCATAGTATATAAAAAATAAGTTATTTCAAGGATCAGAATCATCTGACAAAAGCAAACTCTAGACCTACCCTAATCTTTTAAAATAACTTAATCGAGTCAAATTTTTGAGACATATTTATGAACTAGAATTAAGTTTTTGTAATAATTCCGAATATAGCATTTAAATTGTTAAGGTTTATTATCCTTCTCCTTATGAATTACATTTATTGGCTAACTTTTATAAATCTGAGTCATAATTATTATGTTTAGAATTTTTTGAACTGTGTTTTAGTTTTTTTAGAGAATTTTCAGGGTGTATATACTAGCATCTTGATCCATAATTGCACCATCCATAGTTTAAGAAATTTTTGCATGGTTTTGTTTTGTAGTTTTAATGTAGATGGGCTTTAGGTAATAGCTCAGATTAACCATGTGCATATGAACACTAAATAATTAACAAATAATAATACATTTGAGCCAAATTTGCAACTACCCGTAAGAGTAAAGTTTTTGCATAGTTCAGTCTTTTTCTTTTTAGTATATTCCTCTATGAACTATTTTTTTTCAAGAGAATTATTGAACTTCTTTTTGTTAGGTTTGACTCTAAAATGATTATATTCTATTTTTACCCTATTTCGAATTCCTTCTCTTCTTCATCTGTACTACATTAATCAAATTAGATTTGAATATAATGGTCAATCTCTAATTTAATATTCTTAAAATTATGTTCCATTATTTTTTGACTAAATTAATTATTAATAGAAAAAATTATTAAGATATGCTTTTTAATTTCAAAATATTTATTCTATTAAATTTAAATCTATTAGATCATTCGCTTATCGAATATAGCTCATTTATTTAATTAGCAAAAAATGCCTTAGCTTTGTGTCTCATCAACTTCAATGTATTGCTTGTTAATCCATGTACAATAAAACTGATTGGCTCAAGGTATAGTTATTTTACATTCTCTAATCCGTTGAGTTTCTCCAATTTTCCCTAGAGTATTAATAAATTTTACTTATCTAGTTACTTGATCTAGGAAATACTTTACAATGTCCTTATTTTTACATAATTCTTCAAAAGTTTAATTTAAACCAAATTGATTGCCTAGATTGAGTACAAATTATTTATCTGGGACAATGAAACCAATACAATAACTTTTTGAAGAGTCACCATAGACAAATGCTTCAGTTACTCCATTCACTCTTTAATAGATTCCTTCTATTTTTTCAGGTGCAATGTATTCTCCTTAGCTCAATTTGAATATATTTTTGACTCTGTCGATAATTTATAAGGCACCATTTGGTCGTATGACTCCTACATCGCCAGAATGGATCCATCCATCTTTATCAATCATTTCTTTTGTCTTTTCTTCCTCTTTGTAATATCCAGCAAAGATAGCATTGCCTCTTAAACCTAGGCGTTATATTTATATTTACAGATTTCCCCTCTTGGAGTTATTTAATTATTTTCATTAACATCAGTGCTATGATAATTCATTTCAGGAACATCAATTACTTTAAATTCTATATTAGGAAAAACACCACCAACATGTCCACTGATTGAATCTTCAGCCTTAGTAATGAAGGATCCTCCACAACCTTCTGTTTATCCATATCCTTCAATGAAGGGTGCACAAATAACACATTTTAAAAAATCTATTACTTCTGCAGACATTGGAGCTGAACCTGAAAGCATATATCTAACTCTTCCCCCTAATGCTTCTTTGGTCTTATTGAATACCATGTTATCCCAAAATCTATGTTCTACATGACCTCCATTTTTAAGATAATATTATTTGCTTGATAAGGCTTATTCACATAGTTTTTTTTTGGCCCCTTGCAGACTTTCTAATTTTTGCTTAATAGTAGTATATATTCTGAAGTATAATCTAGGAACACTCATAAAAAGAGTTGGTTTGACCATTTAAAGATCCTAATTTAATTTTTGAACATCTCCTCCATACATACAAATTGTGCTTCCGTATCCCAATAAAGTGATGACAACAAATCTCTCTAATACATGAGGAAGGGGTAAATAACTTAAATAAACATCCTTCTAACTTACTACAATGCCTTGAAATACCACTCCTCCACTTACTGATACAAAGTTTTTATGCCTTAGCATAACACCTTTGGGCAATCCTGTTGTGCCTGATGTGTAACTGAAAGTAAAAATATTATTTTCAGTCACTTCAAAATATGCATGTACTTTAGCCTTTCCTGCTTAGATTACTTATTCATAAGGCATGACTTTGAGTCCTTTTTAATTAAACTTTTATTATGTATATAAAGTACTTTCTCAATAATTTCTTAGCTTAACTCGTCAAAACATATTATATTTTTTAATGCATGATAATTTGATACTTTCAATATTGTCTAGGCGTTCGACTCAGAAATAAAGAGAGTATTAAGCTAAGTTTATTCGAAAATATAAGGTAAACTTTCGAAACCCAAAGTTTCATACAAAGGAATCATTGTATTTCCATATAGAGTATTGGCTATATCTAGAATTAACCACTCTTCTCTATTTTTAGAAAAAACACCTATCATTTTTAGTTGCTAATCTTCGAATACCTCTGGCTTAGGAATAAGATTTAAGTTGATTATACCTGATCCCAAATATCTATAATTAATGTAATTATTACTCAGCATCTTATTTTACTTCTTTGTATGTCATGTATTTGTAATGTTTACTATTCTATCCAGTAGTAATCTGCTTTCCTATACATCTATTTTCAGGATATAAACGACAAGCTCTTAAAAACATTCCTTGCACTGTCTTTTCTCCCTCAAAATTATCTAATAGTTTAGCAACATGGGTAGGATTTCTATAAACATTGCTTTCTCCTTCTTTTTTCTCTCCTACAGGTACTGCGTAAATCAATGACTATGCCTACCCCATTTAAATTTAATTATATATATCAATTTAAAAGATCTATCTTAATATATTACTAATTGTATAATTTTCTTAGAGAAACCGATGAGTTATATTATATTTTCGATCTATACTAATTGTGATATTATATTCATCATTATGATTGTGGTATTAATTCATAAGGTATTTGCAAGCATTCCTCAGAACCAGATATATCAGATACATTATCTAGATATTTAAATTCATATTACCTTCATTCTAATCTGATTATGCAAATCTAATTTCAAGATTATCAGGCACAATATAAGAAAATATTTTAAATCCATTCAAACCTTATGGTATAACTGGATACTCTCCACACAAATTTACACTTCTTCCCTTATAATAGCACTAGTCAAACACTTATAAGCAGCTATTATTCTCTTGCTATTGGAAGTCTACCTTCTTTGACACCATTCTATGACTCAATGGTTTTGATCCCTATTTCGGATTAAAATGCTTCTCACTAACATAACTGTGTCCATAATGAACAGTTTCATCAAATGGACTAAAAACATTTGGATCATCAATATTCCTATTATACACCTAATAACGAGGATCTTCTTCTACTATTCCTTAATATGCCTCATAATAATTTGGTCTCATGTCGTCATAACCATAACAATTAAAATAACCAACTTAATCTCTGTATTTCTATACTTGCTGCTTTGAATGTTATTATTATTGCTATCTAAGCCACATTTCTTTTAATTGATAGTCCGGATCTTAATATTTTCCCCTATAGAAATTTGAGTACCTACCATAGCTTGGATATGGAGGATAATTTTATCGAACCATCCAAGGAACACAACTTGTACTAGAAGTCTGTCTAGTGTATGGATTAAGTCTTAAATATGGGTTACCACTATATTATGGATTTGAAGTAACACTTTAATGATGTCTGTAAGGATAACCATTGAATGGATTTCCGAAATTTTAAAATCTGTTTTGTCTATTCATACACCTATAATTCCACAATAAATCTTCATCGAATAATTCATCTCCAGGGTATCTACCTGGATAGTTATATGGATAATGTGATTTTTTATTCTTTCTATGTTAATAATACGGATGATTTCTTATGTATCTTCCATTTCCATCATACAATTCTTCGTCTTCTTCCCCTTCCTCTTCTTTGTTTCCATTGCCTTTGCTTTTACCCTTTTTTTTTTCCTTGTCTTTTGAACTGAACCCTCTCCATTAATCATCTTCATCCATCTCTTCCCCCTTATCCTCTCCATTTTCATTGTCTTCAGCATTCTCTTTTTCTTCATTATTCTCTTACTCTTAATCTTGTCCTCCTTCCTCTGCATTCTCCTAATCTTCATTTTTTTCTTCTTAATTCTCTTAGTCTTCGTTTTGTTATTCTCCATCTCCCTAATCTTACTCTTGCTCTTTTTCTTTATCCTCATCATCAGCTTTAGACTGAGTTTTGGCTTTTGACTTCTCCTTCTCTTTGTCTTTGGGTTTCTATTTCTCTTTATCATTCTCTTTCTATTTACTCTTATCTTATACTTTATTTTTAGAACTTTCCTTATTTTTATCTTGGCTTTTATTTTATGTCTTACTCTTGGCAGCATTTTAAGATTTACTCGTTTTTTATTATGATTCTTCATTCTAATTGTCTCCTTCTTAAGCATCATCTTCTGCTTCTTGTTGACTTTTATTTGAATTTGATTTATTTGTCTTTTCCTTTTTTGATTCCTCTTCATCTTCTTCTCCTTTCTTATTCTTGGGTTTTCCTTCATCTTCATCTCCATGTAATTTTATATCCTCCTGTTTTGTATTAACAAAATTGTATTCTATAATAATTCTATCTGCGATTATAGGAATGGTATCATCTTGAGATGTTCCATAATCATTATTTTTTCTATTTCCTCTTAAATTCAATTTCTAGCCAGAATAACTCTATCCATTTAAATTTTAATTTTCATAATCTCTCTCATTTTAAGATATTTTATGATGATGATGAAAGTGTTTTATTTTAGGGGATCTATGATGATGGGTTAAATGTCTTCTAGGATGAAAATCATATTCACTATCATAATCACTATAAAAAGATGTATAATCTTAATATTGATCATATTTATCTGGATTTTCATATATATCCTCTGACTACTATCTATATCTTTTATTATCTGAATTAATGTGAATATCCTCCTGATTATATTAGGTTGACTATGTCTCAGATTATTATTATTGTTATTATTATTATTATTATTATTATTATTATTATTATTATTATTATTATTATTATTATTATTATTATTATTATTAGTATTATTATTATTATTATTATTAGTATTATTATTATTATTATTATTATTATTACTACTATTATAATTGACTGTTCAGATTTTAAACTTGTGAATTATCTTAATCATCTAAAATGATCTCTTCAAACGTTGCTTATTATTCAATAATCATACCGTCTTATTAATTATTGTGGTTTTATGAAGAAATTTATTGCAGTTAAAGTATTTAATTTGATTCTTACTAACTATTGGCATCTCTCTATAAATTTTATTGTGGTTAATCACTGTTTTGTGTTTTAACTTGTTCTCTACTTTCGATAGGTGTTTGATTTCTAATAGTTCGCTAATTTTCATTAAATTCGAAAAAATCAATATCCTAACTATCCTAATTTACCCAGCCAATTGGATTTTCATACACAATAAAAACTTAGTTTTACTCTTTTTCATCTTCCTTCTATATTAAATTTTATTTCTATTCTTCACTCGATTATGTTTATTCATTTTTTTCTCGATTTATTTCCTTCTAATTTTATAAATCATCATCCCTTAAGAAAATTGCTGGGTCTTAAGGAGTATAAATTCCATTTAATGTTTTATATACTGGTTTTTAATCTAAATTATGAGACAATTCAAAAGATGGAATATTGTTAGATTCACTATCAGAATTGTCTGAAATTTAAAAGTTTTAAGTTGGTTCAATAATCAAGTTGATATCTTTCTACTCCACTTCTCCAGTATTTATTGAGGCTTAATATTTATAGTAAGTGGATTCTGATTCAATAGAGATTTATTCTTGTTATAGAAGGATACCATTAATTTTTAATAACTTTTTGATCCTTTCCAAAGATTTACAATTTGATTTTTAAATTAAAATTGCAAGTTTAGTGATTAGAATTTCTGGTTAATATTATTCTTTTGATTCAATAGAGAAAATATAATTTTGCCATTTTTTAAGGTCATAACCTAACTTAGATTTAATAATAAATTGTACTTATTTTTGTTTGAATTATATAAATGTAGCTTTGTGAATTGCTACAAAACTCTTAATGCCATAAATATGTAGAATTATTGATAAGAATTTAATCCTACATAATCAAAGAACAGTTGTTAGTGTTTACTTATTAAAGAATTTCATAATCACTTAAAACATTAGCAAAAAACATATTATTGAGTAAATTAAAATCTTAAAGGAACTTATTCTTTGAAAACTAGGCTAAGATTATTAATGAATTTACCTTTTAATATATTTTAGGGGTATATTTAATAAACATCTATATTTTCTATTAAACTTTGTAACTTTAGATCAGTTTTACATTCATTTATCTTGCAAATTTTATTTAATTGATTGAAGTTTCCAATAATACTTTCTATTTGTAATTCAATGTTCTAAAGTGTTATAAAAATCATTGATAGGAAAATTGATTTAGGATCTTCAGATTTTTATCTAAAATTAATTTTACCAAAATTCTTTATCGTAAATTCTTTGAATTAGGTCTGTGAAATTGTAATTATATTTAAATATATTTGATTCTCTGTGTTAATAATAAATTTGATTTGCTTATATAATACACCGTCAACGAAATTGCTCTTTATCTAATAATCAGCAAAATTAAAATACACATTTATCTAAAGTATAATTTTTCATTTTACATCTATTTCTTTTTCATCCTAAATTATTAAAACGTCTTTAAAATCGTGTATTTAATTTGTTGAATTGACAGAAATCTAATAGGTGGAATCAGATGTTTTAATTCCAAACATGCCATTCTCTAATTTTATTATTTATAAATATTCATCTATGGCGTTCAAAATTTCGCAATAGTGTTTTGAATTGATAATTTGGTTTTCTTTAACGAGTTCTTTTGAAGCTTAAACTGACATTATCAGCATAAAAGTGAGCAGAAAAGTTGTCCGTTTTAAGAAAAATTTCATTCAAAGCAAAATAAAAAAATTTATAAATAATTAAAAGCTAATATAAACTAAGTTTATTTTTATTTTGTATGATTAAAATCTGCGTCCTTATTTAAATTTATTGAAAATATATAAAATTATTTAAAAATTCTAGATTACTTTATTCTTCTATTATTCTAACCAATTATCTATTTTTAAAATAAAAAAGTAAAGAGTGTTAAAAATCAATTGAAAAAAACTATTTATATGTAATTTTAAATAGTCTAACAAACTATAGGGAAAATTACAATAAAAATATTCAAATAATAAAATTTTATAATTAGTTAACTCATTAATTTTAAATCATCTCTTAAATTAATCTATCTCCATTGATTATATGGGTTGTACAAATTTTTATATCTTTTTCTAAGGAAATATTTAATTTAATTACTGTAACGTAATCCTAACCAACGAATCGCTGCTACTTCCCCATATGTAATCCCTCCTACTATGTAGATGACATCAATTTAATTTTAACCTTCCTTAACTTCTTCTCCTTAAAGTTGGTTTAATTTTTCAATGCATTACAAGTTCGCCAGGTAAATCTTTTAAGGCTTACAAAACTAATGGGCCCCCCATGTGTTTTTTGTGATAATTTCTTCAAATATTCGAACTCTCATTAATAAGTAAAAATACATTATTGGTGCATATGCAAGAAAAACATATGAAATATCCTCTGGAGCACATGATCAACATCTTCATTAATCAGACGTAAAGGCTTTTCAATTTTTTCCCATATATGAGTATCATTAAGTTTTTTTCCAATTAACCCAATTTTTTCGCAGTTTTCAAGAGTGATTATGTGCTCAGTGCCATACATATGCAAAATTTCTATGCGATAAAAATCATAAAGTTTGGTCTTCATGCCATTCTAGATTTAATTGTATAGACAAAATGATCGAACAACTTTAGTGATGGGAGCACCATAAGAAATAAGATTTTCAATCATTTATTCAACTTATGATGACTTAGTTTAAAGTATTGCATGCACTTCTTAATTAATGCACATATTAAATAAAATGGATTCTAGCTATTTACTTAAATGTTGACTAACAATAAGATCTGTAATAGTGTAAATTATTACGGTCAAGAATAATATTTTGTTCTTTTGGTAGCATTCATAATTTGGTGAGATATTAATTCATATCACTCATATTCATTATATTATCTTATTATTTCATGGATTAAATCATCTATTTGTTATTCTATCTCCTTTCTTCAAGAACCCTTTGACATTACTTAATATTCATAATTTTTATTCTATTGTAATAAGAATCATTGAGTTTCATCGTTTTTGGTCTGTCTTTTAAGGCTTAATCGTTTTTAATAATATCTAGATTGATGGAATTATGCTTAATTGAAAACACTTCATCAATCAATGTTTCATATGTGAAGGGAGTCAACATAGGAGTGATGAAATCTACTCTTCTGTCAATAATCAAGAGTGTATGCATTTTAGATTCCTTAAAACTAACTTCATCTTCAATCAATTCTCCTTATTGCTTTTTTTATTTGAGTATATCGATGATATATTTAGAATAATTTCCTTTGGCATAAATATTCTTAAATTTGCCATGCACTAATTCCATTCTTTGAATAGACTCAGCCACAGTTTACAAAATTTTCATATCTTGTCCAATATATAATGGCCAAAGGCAATTATTGATTTCCAAAGATAGCAAATCATTAGCTATAGGTATTAGATCGAAATTAAAATTGGTTATGACTAAGTCACCCAAAACAGCCTCTTTTTCTAAATAATCTTTGCATACAATATTCATTCTAGGGCAGAAGATTAGTAAGTATTTTTTGTTCAAATTCTCAAGTTAATTGTTTCTAATGATTCTTACTATTCTTTTCATGTATTATCTATCAGGATTCACAAAAAATATAATCTAATTAACTTCTACATTCAATTAATCGGAATCAATGTAATAGATTTAATCAACATCATTTTCTTTCAGAATCTACATTGATTCAACAACCAAATTAAGCATGTCTGCAATAAATTAATCAATGACAAGCACCTTCTTGCCAACAAACTAATTTATATATAATATTAGAAGTCTTACTTAATTCAATTTATTGATTAGCTTTTTTCTCAAATACTTCTGATATATAGCAGTTTTAAAGGATGACTACTAGTCTTCGAATTGACTTAAGTTGACTTTTCCTGAATTGGAAGGGATTCCACTCTGTTTGACTTTAGATGCCACTTATTCAAAGGAGTCTTTGATAAATTGGAACATTTGTTACTTCTGAATATTAATATTTTAACGATATTGAAATTATGCTGCAAAAGAAAGACTCTGATAAGGAAAACACTTCCTATAATAACAAAGATTCATAAAAACAAAGGGTGATTGGAGATTACTTATTAGGTTTGATGTTTTTACTATTAGAGTTAAAACTCTTGGGGTAGGTACTTTTGGTTTAGTAAAACTTGGAGTGCATTAAATAACTGGAGAGAAAGTGGCCATTAAAATATTGGAGAAAGAGCGTATTGTGGAGGTTGCAGATGTAGAAAGAGTGTCAAGGGAGATACATATTTTAAAATTGATTCGACATAGACATGTTATCTAACTATATGAGGTAAATTTAAACCCTATATATCATAGATAATAGAAACAAAGAAGCATATATTTCTGGTCATGGAATTTTGTGATAATGGTGAGCTTTTTGATTACATTGTGAAAAATGAAAAGTATGACTCTAGAATTTAATTAATTAGACTAGAAGAAGTTGAAGCTTGTCGAATATTCTAGGAACTAATCTCTGGCATAGAATATATTCACAAACTTAACATCGTCCATAGAGACTTAAAGCCAGAAAATCTTTTATTGGATCATTCAAATCAAATTAAAATTGTAGATTTTGGACTTTCTAATACATACAAAGAAGGTGAATTACTTAAAACAGCCTGTGGAAGTCCTTGTTATGCGGCGCCAGAGATGATTGCTGGTCATAGATATCAAAGTATCTTGGTTGATATTTGGTCATGTGGTGTTATTTTGTTTGCAACAATTTGCGGTCAATTGCCCTTCGAAGATAAACATACAAGCGAGTTATACAAAAAGATTCTTAATGGATAGTATACAATACCATCACATGTCTCATAAGATGGTTAATCCTTTATTAAAGGGTTATTGAATACTGATCCCAAAAAAAGATTTGACATTGACTAAATTAAATCTCATCCATGGTTTAAATTATATAAGAGAGTTCATTCAATACCATAAGGAATCATCATAGGATATAGTCGAATTCCAATTGATGAGGACATTGTTGAATAACTCGCTCAAAAAGGATATAGCGCTGATTATATTAAGAAATGCCTTGATGCTAATAAACACAATAATCTAACCACAGCCTATTTTCTACTCCTAAAAAAACATTTGATTAAAGGAGGCCAATCAACAGCTGATATCAATTCCTAAAATTTCAATGAAAAACTCTTAGAACCAGCTACTAGACCATCGAAACGTATATCTCTTTCTTAACTTAAAAGCTCCCATAAGCAATTTATTAGATAGTTAATTAATGAAAACATTAAAGCACAATAGATCAGGATCATGTCAAACTAATTAAAAATCACACACTTAAGGAAGAGGAATGTCTGTCCCTTAAGTCGAGGATATCAGATCAATCTATAATGGATCAAAAAATTATCAGAATTCTTCATTATCAATCGAAGTAATCAATTTAATCAAATATCAAATAGGATCAGTCCTTTTTATTTGAAAGAAATAAATCTTTATCTTTCCAATAGAATAACCATAAGAAAATTCCTACTGATATATAAATCAATGATGTCTTAAATAAAACAACTTACGTAAATACAAGTAAGAGATCTTCTAATGCTTCGACTGTGTCCCCTGGACATTAAAATAAATTGCTTTAATATTTGAGTAAAAATAAATATTTAAATATAGAATCTTCAACAAAAAACACTACTCCCACAGCAGTTAGGGGGAATTCTTAATCGAAAATGCCATATAATACTAAAACTACTAAAAACCAAAAAGTTTCCTATACAAATTTCGATAATAATAATAATTCTATGTTGGAAAAAAAGAAAGAAAATAAACCAATAAATTTAGCTGACTCTACTAACATTGAAAGCAAAAAAAGATCTTTGCATATAGAAGGAGTAATAATAGAATTTTATTAGGTTTAGGATCTCTCAATGCCTGCAAGTACTAAACCATAATCAATGCCATATCAATTATGGCTAAAGATGAATAGCAGAAAAGGATCAAGAGATTATAGCAGTGGAGGATCTAAGACAAAAAAATCTAATGGCAGTGGTAAAACTAATATGAATCAGAGCTTTAACTTTGATAAGAGAGCGTGATTTCCTTCTACATAATTAATTTATTTTTTTCGAATATGTATTTAATAAGTTCTTTATGTAAATAGAAGCAGTAGAATTAAGATAACTGTATGATAAAAGCAAATACTAATCTATTATTAATATACTGACGAATAGCTATTATTTTTGCTCATTTTTCTACTTTTCCAAGCCATAAAGCCAAAAGTGACTTTCCTTTTACTGCAATAATCTTAAATCTGACCCCTGGAATATCTCCGACTGCATGTCCCTTTCTACCGAATCCAGCGACTGTAACTTCATCATTTTCATTTAAAAAGTTTAAGCAACCATCCTTAGGAACGAAGGCTGATATTTTTTTACCATTCTTTTTCAATAATACTCTAACACACTTTCTGACAGCAGAGTTTGGTTGTTTGGATTCACTAAATGGAGTTTATAAAATTAAATTTACACTCCGATTTTTTCAACAACCAATCCCTTAGCATGTGATGCACCCATAAATGGATTCTTATATCTTGATCCAATCATAGCCTTATTATATTCCTTATCAGCCCATCTGTTAACTCTTCTGTGATCTTTGAGCTTTCTTCCTGCTCTCATACCTCTGGGTTTACCAACTCCCATGATTAAAAGATTTTAATTAAATTATTTAAATTTTCATAATATGATTAATACAATATAAAATTGCATTCGATATATCTCAAATAAACATATCATCACAATTATTTTCTGTCGTTATATCCTGAATTTCTAACAACAGAATTTCTCCCACTGTTGTTAGTTCCATAAGTACTATACCCTTCAGGAGCTATAGTAGCCCCTTTGATACTACTTGTTTCAAATTAAGTTGTCAACGCAGTACCAGATGGCCCAGTCCTTTTAATTTCACTTTCTTTTGTTACTGTAACCTTGCTATTTCTCAAGGCTTCTAATTATGTTTCAGCCATTGTAAGTTTTTCGGATATATCTGAATTGATTTCTTTTTCCATAATTCTACCTCCCCTTACATAGAAATAATTTACTATTCTGATTATAAGAAACTCTCTAATTACAGTTCCAATGCTCTTATTCTTTGGTACAGCGATTCAAGTTCATTGTCTTTATCATTCATGAGTAGTTTGAGTTTATGAATTTCATGATCCTTAAATTCGTTTTGTTCTTAAGAATTTTTAAGGTCATTTGTTAAGCTGTCTTAAAGTTAATGATAGATATTTACTAATTTTCTTTTTAAGGAGTCTTATTTCATCATCTGCTCCTTGATTTTTGGAATTAGATTTCTAAATACTGCATTTTGTTTTCCACCTCGAGTCCATGTCATCCATTGTGACAACTTGTAAAGGCCTTTCTTAATGATGCACTTCAGCATTATTTGGTTATGTAGGTGCAATCCTAACAGAGGGAGTGATTAGAAGAGGTTGCGACTATGTGATGCTTTGGGATACAACAGATGTAGTAGCAATTTGTCTAGTAGAAAAGGGGCTTCCAAAATAATAATGATAATATACTCTATTCCAATGTTTTGAGATGAATACTATTATATTTAGGGCTACCTTAGCTAAGGACTACATAATAAAGAAGTGATTTTCCTTATAATAGAAAGTTTCAGTTTAGCTTATAGATCCTTATTGGCCTATTCTGGGTTTTTTAATTAAATTGGATGATTAATTAAGAACTGATTGAATTTGAGAATGATTGTACCCTGCTTAGCTATGAATAATTATTATAATATTACTCCATTATGAATTAGCTGTTATTAAATAAATATTAATGTAAAAGCATTTCTCTTAAAGTTTGGTTCAAAAGATTATCATAATTTTAACAAATTATGATAAACACATCATGTTTGATTGTGATGAACACTAGAAACATTGTGCAAAAAAGTTTAAGATTTTTCAGTTTGTGGCAGTTTATTTACCTAGTTAAATCGAGACGAAAATATGTCAATTTGATGTTAATCACATTTTTTATCTTATACAAAAATGCCGCTTTTTTTTTTTTTTATACCTCAGAGCATTATATGGCTTTGATTTTTGTAATTGTATTTTGTGATCGATTTGAAGTGACTGTTGATAATTCAATTTATTTGACTTATATATAAATATGTATGAAGTGAAATCTTAAAATGTCTCTGTAGTTTACATTCAATATTACATTTTCTAGCTGATAGATCGCTTGGGGGCCTGTATTGATTGATTATTTGGACATTGATATATTTTAGAAATTCCTTACTATCATTTTCAGAGATAGAAAAAGAACTAAAAAAATTTCTCTGAATCATGCTGATTAGTTTTGATGGGCTTTCTTGCTGTATATTTGCATTAGAAGAAAGCTTAGGAAACAACTAATGGTAATGCAGAACTATATTTAATATTAGTATATTTTCACCCTTTAGATGAAATTATCCTCAATTTTGAATGCATTTAATTAATTGATAGAAACCTTTTGCTGGGTGTTAGATTAAGGCTAAGTATATAGTTTAATAAATTTAATTATTTAATAATATTATGCAGAAACCAATTCATTATTAAGAATAAATGTAATAAAAAATAGCATACATAAGGTAATATAAAATCAGGGGTAATCTATTGTGAGTGTAATTAATTTATATATTAATCAATCTCTATAAGTAACAATTGAGTAAGTTTATTATCTGCTTTTAGTCTTTGTTCTAGCATTTATAGAATGTGATCTCAATTTTGGTAGTTTTAACACATCTCTTTTTATGGTAGATTAATCTAATAGACTTTAGTTAGTTGGAGTTACTAATTAGGTCTTGTTTGTGTTTTGTATTAGTGTTTCATAGTTATTCTCCAAATCATATTATTATAAATAGCCAAACAACTGAATGTCATTCAATTTTATTATGTTTCTTAAACCCTTTAATTATTTATTTTAAGTTAACATTTATTCTGTCTATTTGGATTATTAGGATAATTATTTTTGAATAGTTTCCTTTTATTACACAGACTAGAAGCTCAATCTGACTCCAGGTTACAATTTAAAATCCTAAGCTTAAGATTCTATAAACTCAATTATTGTTTCTTCATTTTCTGCTTATCTTCGTTTCTATCGTATCTATTCCACTAATTTTGGTTTTGAAATCACAGCATTATTATCAGTCTATGGTACTTCAAATGGCAAGGTAGTTATTACGTCCTTTTTTGTTTAATTGTTAGATCTTGCAATAGGATCACAATTGTAATCGTAAGTGTATTCTTTTGATCCTATTTGCATTATCAATCTATTATATTACTCTTTCATCATCCGTTTCTCTTTCGATCGTTCTCTTATCATTTATTCCTTATTTGATTTTTCAATACATTTTTATTCCATTATTCTTCTTTCATTTGGATATTCTTCAACAAATTCTATAGTTTTTTATCTAACCAATTAAGGTTCATAGTCTTCCCACAATTAAGTTGGTAACATAAATTTATGCTTAGGAGGTAATTCTACTTTTGGTGTCATCCGAAGAGAAATCGGAGCTATGTCTTTAATATCATAAGCTCTAAATCTTTCCTTCTATGTACTATGAGCCTCAAAATCTTCCATCTCATTATAATTTTGAAAAAAAGGATCAAAACATTTCTAATGCATCATATTGAAAGACAAATTAGCTGCAAAAGAAGCACTTGATTGGGATTCTAAACTTTCAAAAATCTTATCCTCTACTCTTGTCATAATTTTGTTAATAATATAAGGCATGATGGTTTCAACTATTTCTAAATATTCCATTAAAATATTTAAAAATGAAATATTATTCAGAATTATCAAAAATTAACATGCTGAAAAAAGGACTATAATCATTAAAGCATAAAGTTTAATTATATTATTTTGAGTTTTATATTATGAATTAAAATGAAGATGACCTATTTTTTGATTTTTGTTTAACGAGTTAATAAATTACTTTGATAAAAATAATTAATCTAAGGCTTGATCGATAATGGATCTGATTCGTGGGAACAATCCAAAGAATTTACAGGTGATATTTTATTACAATTGGGAGTTCTAAATGACAAGGCATTTACATCATTTAAATAATCTATGAGATTAATAAATAGCCTCTATCATTTAAGATTTATACTCAGCCCTTTACCATAGAATAGATGACTAAGGGTGTAATTAAAAAAGATTATTCAAAAAATCCTCCTCTTAAGAAGCAAGATTTATTGTGCTTTCATTAAATAGCTTAGGATTAACATCATTAGGTGAATGCAGATCTATGGCTAAAGGATTATAAGTTCGTTATATTTATGATAAATGTTTAAGAATATTGAATGCTCAAAATAACTAAATAAATTCATTTGAATTTGAATAATTGCTAAGTTTAAAAATCATACTTTGATAAAAATTGTCTATCAATTATGCCAAACTACCTTAGGTTGGATATTCTTTCGATCTCATATCAGAATACTTAAAATTTCAACTTCCCTATAATTGAGAAATATTAATAAAATACAAGAATTCTAGGAAAATGAAGATTCTATATACAATCTTCCAAACATAAAAGAAATAGGTTTGAGAGGTAATCTCATCACCCAAGTTTATAAATACAGAGAACGAATAGTTTTATCATGCAAAACAATATGTAAATTTCCATTTTATTTTATAGAAACTATTGAAAGCTTGGCAGTATTGGCAAATGAAAGATAGTATCTCATTAATTTAGGAAAATAAGAAAATTTCAAGAAAAAATCAAAGTTTAGAAGGAAAGAAATAGACAATTCTAAAACCATCAGTAAGTGGAGTAAAACAAAAATTTTATATAATGAAGAAAAATGTTCTAATTTCAATAAGGTATATAAAACCATTGATTCTGCTAATTATTTAATGATACCACATTAAAAAGCTTACTAAACATAAATGAAATCTAAAATATTACTTGTAATTCATAGATTTTCAATTTATTAATATCTATTATCTCTATTCGTAAAAAAATAAGTCTTTTAAATTGAGATGTTTATTTATATAGATAATATTTGAAATTCAATGAATAATTTTAAAACGTAAATATCAACTCATAGCATCTAATATGTTATTTCATTAGGTTTCAAATATTCACATACGTCCGCAACAATTAAATTTTAGAATGTAATATCCTAATCGTCATCAGGTGCAATTACCATTAAGTCAGGATAATCTTCTTTAAATTATGTAATCATTCCTTCAATTTTTTGATTTAATTTCATAACTTTAACTTAAATCTTTTTATTTCTGATATAATAGAAAATTTGTCCTTATGTTTTCTTACAAGGGCAGCCATCTGGAAAAGAATCTCCGAAATTATGATATTATTTTCCATGTGGAGGTGCCTCTGCAATTAAGTATAACAAATTTTAATAATTACCATTCCAATTCAACTCTAAAGAAGCATCCAGACCATCTAAAACAGCCTCAGGTTCATCATCACCTCCTTCTGCCGATAATGAATTCAAAAAACTAATGGCAAGGGAATATGAAGTAAATTAACAAATATTCACAACATTTTACAACTCATCATATGGATTCTAATGATCCTTATATGATACAATTGCAAATTTCATCTCAATATTATGATTTTCTTTTGTTTTTTGCATTATACTTTTGATGACTTCTTTACAGTTATCAATATATTATGACATTGATCCTGTTGTATCAATAACAAAAGCTATGTTAATTCCTTATATGAATTATACTTTGTGAGTTGATGAACATGGAAATTTATGGGAGGATATCTTGTTATCTTAACTATGCCAAGCTTATTGACAACAAAATTGATATTCACCATTTATTTTTTTACATATTGGGCAGTAATAATTACATAGACCTATATTTTATGTTTCCTTTGGGATTGGATGGGCCCATCCTTTATAATCCCAATAGTCTATACATAATACTTCATCAAAATTCAGATGTTAAAATCCTTCATATTTCTCCTTTGAGTGTCTAGCTCTAATACCTATTTATTTTTCTAGGCATTAACTTTCCCCTTTGCATTCAATCAAATGATAATGACTTTTTCCTCTTCTCCTACAACTCTGATCACAAGTTTCTGGAGTAGATTGCTCTCCAATTTAATACTGTCTAGCAACATTATTATTCTAATCCTATATTATTAATTTAAATTCCTCCCCCTATTTTATTGTAAATATCTAAAATTCTTTATTTATATGGATTTGGGAAGAATGATGCCCAGAATGGCCATATTTCAAATCACAAATTTTATTACATTCAGGACATTTTTAATCACATAAATGAAATTATTTTTCTGTCTCTATCATGCAACTATGTATTTAATTATGATTAAGTTACTATGGTTTAATGTTTCTACAACATTTCTTTTTTTCGTTACTTTAAGGAATATATTTAATGTAAGAGAATCTTGATTACCACATAATTTCAACTTAAGTATATGTTATTTAGCATATTCCTTTCTCTTAACAAAATTCCTAACACTCATGCTAATCTCCGCAGAAGTGATTTTAATTTTAGGAATTACGATATTATGAATGTTCATGATTATTTTTACATCTCCTTTCACATAATACGCAATTCTAAATGCAATAACTTTCTTCGCATATATGGTTTTAATGTTTTGTTGTCCTATCTGTTTTGCATTTCTTACTACAATACTAACACGTTTCTCCACATAGATGAACATTAGTGCAGTTATGTTATTCAGTATGGTTTAATTCTAGATTGCATTTGACTTAACATTAAGTTATGCTGCATTTGATATTGCATTTATGATTTTTCAAGGAACACAAATGATACTATGACTCATTATGACCAGCCTTATTTTCGCATTTCTTATTTGGACATACTTTGCAAATTTAATCGCATTTGTGGTCACTCAAACAAGAATGCACATGCGAATTTAATTCTACTAATTCTAACAAATTATATTTTAAAGAGTCTAATTTTTCAGCACTTGTTTCTACTTTCTAGTAACATTCTAAAATCCTTTTTTTGTTTTGTTATTAAATTAAGAGGACTTATTTTTTTTCTTCCATTTTTTGATATTCCTGTTATAAATCCTTAAGCTTAAGATTTGTATAATTATCTCTCCCTTCCCAGCCTTTAAGTAAAGTTTCAAATTTTTACATTTCTTAATCTAAAACCTGTTTTTCTTTCAAATGCTACTCTAAATCTCTCAATTCTTTCAAATATTTGTCAATTTTTGTAATTTACTCTTATTTTTCTTATTCCTTATTAATTAAATTGTTTTCATATTCTTTCAAGCTATTTAATTCTTATTATTCCTTAAGCGATTGATCTTTCAATGCAATCAAATTCTCTGATTAATCAATAGATGATTTTTTCAATTAATTTATCTAAGTCTCAAGGTTAATATGTTAGTTTACTTTAATTAACTTTTTTTCCTGTAAATAATTAAGCTTGGTTTATCTATCAACAATTATTTAAGATTCTGAGATTTCTTAATTTACAATTTCAATTTCCTGCGACAATCTTTTTATCTCATTCTCATAATAAGTAATTTCTGATTGGATTGACAATAAGAAATTATCTTTGATATTAAAACTTTCTACCTATTCTTCCTAACCAACTTATTTCTCCATACATTGCTCAAAAAGATTGATTTTGGAAAAATACAAGGCATCAATTTATTCCTTTAATTATAATTCTTCTTTATTACAATATTCAAGCTAATTCTCAATATTTTAGAATTGAGGCTATGACAATTCTTATCTAAGATCCTCGATCATAATTCTGTTTCTATATCTAGCCAATGATAATTCTTCTATTTCTTCATTCAACTCAGTAATTTTTGTTTTATTTTTATTTAAATAACTTTTCTTTTCCTTTATTTTTCTGAGGTTATCATATAGCTCTTTATTTTTATCCAACTTCTATTAATATACTTACAAAAATAATTGTTAGGGCATGTTGGTATATTATTCCAATAATCTTTAATTTTCATTCTTACTTTATTAGAAAAATTTGATTCCCTCTCTAAGATCATGTAATTTTTCTTTTAGTTCTTTTATTTTATTATCATTTTGATTTTTTTCATTCTCTTTATAATAGCCGCCCAATTATAGAATTTCATTTTCGATTTTTATTATTTCTTCGCTTATTTTTGATTTCTCAGAATTTAAGCTTCCAATTTATTAGTTATTTTTATCAATTTAAATTTGTATTTGTAATTCAATTTAATTACATTAATATTTAAGATCTGAGTATTTCTACTGAACCTCTTCTTTCTCTTATATAATTTTAATAAGTTTATCACCTTATGTTTTCAACTCATTTTTAGTCTTCCTTTATTCATCATTTATAAATTTAATATCAAATGCAATTTGCATATTTTCATTTTCTGATTCTAAGTTCATGCCATTTTATTAAACTCTTTAAACGTTGAAAAAACTAAACTCTTAAACTATATTCATTAGCTATTCTTTCTATTCCTACATAGTAGCTAACTTAATTAAGTTTGAGAGAAGAAATAAATTAATTCCAATTTCTTCAATTTTTTGCGAAATGGAAATTAAGCTATTTCTTTCCATCATCTCCTCTTTTTAATTTTGTATTGAAGAATTGTTTCTTTGCTATTCTAACATATCGATTTCATTTTCAAGTTTTTTTTTCAATGATTCAAAATGCTCTATGTGATTGTTGAAATATTTGCAAGGTAAAAAGCATTCATTGCATTTATTTTAACAAAATTAATATCGATCAAATTAAATTTTAAAAAAGTCTTCAAGTTTGGAATTTTCCACTTCAATTTTAGCTTAAAGTTCCATACCATTGATATTTTCTATTTCAGATTAAGTCTTTTAAATAATTTGTTTCTTTCTTTGCTCCATCAATTTCTTTAGCTAATTATTAGCTTCTAATAAGTTTGATTTATGATCATTTATATTATCCTTTAACTAGAGATCATTATATAATGATTTCAAAAGTACATGGTTGTATTTTATGTAATCAAAATCATCCATCTCAAATTAATATTTTCTTTAATTCAACCTTAATTCTTCACCTTATTATTATTAATCTAAAGTAAATTTATACCACTGACTTTTGCTTTCTGAGTAAATTTATTCCAATCGGATTTCAAAATCTATTAGAGTTGCATCTTTGGTATCTGACAATTCTAGCTAACAAAGAACAACCTTTACCATAGATATTAATTCCTTACCATTTTTCCATCGAATACATTCTATAGACTTCTACAAAAGGTAGGCTCTTATTTTCTTAAGTTAATGATCAAATAATTCTTTTTCATTATTAACTAATTATTCAACTGACATATAATTACTAAACAATTCTTTCAAAAATGGAAAATCTCGTATTTGTTCGTTATCTAATGCGTTAAAAGAATTGACATCCCTAATGATCTTATATAGAAAACCCTTAAATAACCTTTCATCTTTTAGCTACTGTGATTCTTCAAATACATTATTAAAAAGTTCTTTTTAATGTCTATCAAAAGAAGTATCTGAGTTTAAAATTGTAGCATCACTAATCGCAATAATAAATGATAGCATTTTGACTTCTTCTTTTTCAGTTCTAGATCCATCAAATAAACCTTCACAGTCAAGTATTAAAAACTTTTAATTATCCACAATTGCTAAACTTCCCCAAACTCCATCAGTGCATCTGGCTGATGAAACAGAAAATCTTGTTCCAAATACTCTATTTAATAGGTAACTTTTGCCTGATGACTGCCTACCAATTATTCCGACAACAAAAATTTTTTTTTCTTCAACTAACAAATAATCCTCTAAAAACCCAAGATGTAATTATTTGACTCTACAATCTATACTTATACTCTTTTAATTTAGTGAAAATTATCTAAACCCATCATTTAAAGGAATTAGAGTTCCATATTCAATGGTACAAAACTATAAAGGAACTCTTGAAAATATAATATCAATTATTTAATTCCTATCACACTCAGAGTATTGACTGTCATTCATACTCAAATTAGTAAACTTCAAATCCAATTTCTTAAAATAATCCATCATTTTAAGCTATTCATTTTCTTTAACATATAAAGTAATATAGCTTAATTTATTTTGATACAAAAACTCAGCATTTGGTCCAAATTTACTTTCTGAGCCTTTAACAATGTCCAATGCAGGATTGCCCAAAAGTTTACTTTTTTATTCTTGTCTTTGCTGAGATAAATTTGATTAAATTTTTAAGACATATTTTTTTCCTTCATTTTAAAATTCATACATCTAATCAAAAATTATAACATCAGAAGAATCTGAAACAATTTTTACATGACCATTGATAGGTATTGTTTACAGTTTTTTACCAGTAAGGTCATATCTATCGCAACAATGAAAATTAGCAAGGTAAAAGTATTTGCCACTTGGACAGGCTAATAATTATTTGTAATTTTATGTTGGATTAGTGCTGGGTGTGAATTCTGTTTAAGTAACCTCATTTCCTATTTCCTGTAAGCATTTAATAAGACGAAATTATTATTCTTTTTCAGATTATGTATAGATTTTGTTATTTTTGGATAATACTATTAACTTTTTACAAGTGTAAATATATGCAACTTAATCTACTAAAAATGGATTACCTTAATTATCCAATTAATAACAATAAAATTAATCATTTTATACTATGCCTCTTGAGGAAATTGTGATCTACTATACATATTTTTCTTTATGATTGAATATGAATAAGTGGTCAAGTGTAATAGTCGAAATAGTATACAGCTTGTTATATTTCCATTAGAGCTAATTATCTTATCACTATTGCTTTCTGGGCTTAAAATAATAAAAATAAGATATAAGCCATTTTTTAAGTATAAACTATAAAAATGGAAGATTTATTTTTAGTTTAAAATATCTCTTTAATATGATAATCTTATTTCCTATCTTATAAAAAACTACCATCTAAATAATAATCATAAATTTCATCCAATTCAGGTTTAATATTGTCTATATTCTAAGACTTATTACGATAGCATCTGAAATTAATTTTCTTTACTGAATACAATACTTATTGACATAATTCTTAATATAATTCGTCTATCTTTTTAATAAATTCCCCCTATATTTCCTTAAATTTTAAATTAATTATCTTTTTATGTTCATTAAAATATTTCTCATATTTTTTGTTATCTTAAGAGTTCTAGAATTTAAATGTTAATTGTTAATTTTCAATAAATTCAACCGACTAGAATATTGATGACACAATCTCCTCTGCTATTGGCAATTTTGTGTCATCATAGTGGAATTTGCTATACCAGGGCTATAATTAATTACAGATTTTTTGGATTAGTTTTTTCCTTTGTTATTGTACTTCCTCATTTAATTATATTGATAGTTCGTTTATTAGAGTTCTAATTTTATCAGTTTAATGCTCCTTTTTCAAAATATTAATCAAAGGGACTATACTATGATTATTTTTGCTGATGATTTGAATCAACAAAGTTTAAGTAAATGATTTAAAAGTGTTTTATAAGTCTTCAATTTTAATCTATTCTAACCTTTTTATTATGTAAATTTAAGGGATTATTGAATAAGATTTAATAATTTACCAATTTTTAATATCATTTTCAAGCCTAGAATACTAACATTAATATCTTTAAATTTCTTATTTGTTCAATTCTTTAAAATCAAAATCTTATCGCACTAATTATTCCGAACTAAAAGGTATTGCATTTCCATTATACCAATTAGAGAATACTAATTCATCTAAACATATAATTATATTGTCTGTAAAATCCTGTAAGATTCTAAATAATACAATTTCTATTGATTGTTCTTAAATAGGTATTTTTGTGAAAAATGAATTTGATAGTATCAAGCAAAATAACAATAAATCTGAAAATTTAATTACAATGAGATTTCCTTTTTCTGATTAATACAATAATTCTGCTAAATCGATTACTTTTTTAAAATCATTCTAAATTTTTCTTTCAATATTGCTTTAACATCCAAATATACCTTATATTCTTTGTTTTGATTAAGTATTTAATTCAATACACATTTAATTAACATTATTAATATGAATATGTATTTTGTCAAGTTAAGAATTTAAAGCATGGTCAGTGACTATTGAATACAATAAAGTAATTTCAAATTCTCTATTTTTTGGATTCATTATCCCTAAATTTTTAATTCAAATATTAAATTTTGTAGATAAATCATCAATTATATTATGATTTATAAAAATGATAGAAAATGAGAAACTAATAAAATATTAAGTTTTTTTTAAATTAAATAATTTAATAATACTGATTAACGACATAATTATAGAATACTTTGAATATTCATAATTATTACCCTTTATATTGAATTAATTAATCTGAATTTACAGATGAGAATGTAAAATGATACTTTTTACCCCAAATTCAAAAACTAGTTCATATATTTTCTATTGTATAGATGAACAATCAAAAAAGTGTTATTCTTGTAAATGCCCGATTTATTAAGATTAATAATAACAATTAACTTGAAATTCAAGTTTTATTCATTTAAAGAAATCCAGATGTAGACTTAGAGTATGCCAAATGCAATTATGAAATAGTGCAATATTATTTAAATAGAAAAAAAGGTACTAATTAATTTTAATGGAATTAAATGTTAAAATTTGCTCATTTTATTCAAGTGTAAAGATAATCATGGCATAAATTGTAAAAATTGAATAAGATATTCCACCTGCTCTATCGGTGACATTATAAGAATGGAACAGCCTGATATCAAAGTTAAAATTTCTATATTTAAAATATCAGGTTGATTAATTGCATTTAGTTCCCTTCAAATTTCACACCTTAAATTTCTATTATAATAATTGAGGTGCTCATCAATGTGTTGTGTTCTAAGTTGTCAAAAAATTAAAGATAAATTCAATCAACTTCATCTTCACTTCAACAAACAGAACCAGATGATCCAATGTAAATAGTTTTATAGCAAATTAGAATTAAAATGCAACAACTATAGATAGATTAAAAGTGCTAATTGTAATGTATTTCTCTAATAAATGGCTTTTACTTTTAAAATATAGGAAATGATATTCAAATTTAAGTTAGTTTATATATATTATTATGACGAAAGAGTATGACTTTGGTAAATAATGAATAATAAACTGATACCTTTCTAATTAATTACATAAAATCTCAATTTATAGATAACTTATTGAACTTTAATTTTTTCATTTCCTTTGCTTTTAATTAATCTAAATGTGTTTCTGTTTCAGAAGTATTCACAGATTTCTTTAATCTATCATTTCATTCATGTTAAATTTCAATACCGATTTTTGTCAGATATTAGAATTCTTATATTTATTCATTAGTTGTAGTCATTTTATTTCCAAATTTACTAATGTCTTTTAAGAATATATGTATTTCTCTCTATAAACTAAACTCAATTATTAATTACTTTTAATAAACCTAAAATTTCAACTATCACAAAGTACTTAAATATTAATGAGTTCTGGGTTGCCTATATAGAATTGAATTATTCTTTGTTATTTTTTTTGCTATGAGGTTTCTTGTTTTTCCAGTTATATATGGAATTCTAAATTGTCATTCAAAATTTTTGTTGTTTAATTCTAAAAAGATGAATCAATGTAATTAATCTTTTTTTTTTAAGATGTATGACTGATAGGATTATTTACAATTCTCGAATGTTAAAAATAGTTTTTGATATAGTATTCAGAGAATTAGATATATTTTAAATTATGTTACAATTATTTATTGATTATTCATTCCTAATTTTTGGTAATGGGTTAAAGGAGATCAATTTCTGATTATTTCTTCATTACATTAAATATTTGTGAATATTTTTGATAAGAAGAATCCTTCTTCTAAGAAATTAAGACATTTTTAATTCTTATATTTATTTTCATTCAATTTGATAATATTTAAGTAATCATTTACTAAAAATAATTTCAGATAAAATCAATACAAGATTGGTTTATATTTTAGGTTTTTAATTATAATGTTCAAATTGAATTTCCTATTTCAATTTTAATGAAATTTGCATTAGCTTGTTTGATAGTTTCTTGCTTTCTTATAAAAAATATATTTGTTAGAAATTAGACTTAAATTATTTGTTGAATATTGTGATTGTAAATTGATAGGACTGTATATCAACTGCTTTATATTATGAAGTTTCCTCTTCACAGGAAGAATTTTTGAATCCAAATTCGAATTTGTAACTATATAATTATAATTGTGTAGTGAAATTAAATATGTTCTTTTTTACAATATTCCTATGAAATCCTAGGATAAATGAATTATATCAAGTCAATACATTGCCATATTATTTTTACTCATTATATTTAATAAATATTAAATTATGATGCTAATTTAAAATTGCTTATGATTTTGGCTTTTAGAAGGCAAATAATTAATCTTGATGGGCAAATTCAATTAATAAATCCATATATTCAACTGATGTGTTAGATTAAATTTATATATTAGCTTTTACGCATATTTTATTAATTGTAAAACATTTAATAGTTTTATTTTCTACTTCCAATAGTTAAGGATAGATCTAAAGGCTAAATCAGTTTTCCATTATTTGAAATAAGAATGGCAAAATATTTATAAGTAGAAACGATAGGAAATATAACAAGTTTTGAAGTCCTATTATTTTATGATGATGAATAAGAAATAATCTACTTTAAGTTTATAAACCTAAAGTTCATTTTTAGGTGAAATTTTAAAAAGTAATTAGAGACAGACATTTGTATTGTTGTTCTTTTTCAGTCATTATATCATTTGAAAATTGGAAACTTTGATAATTAAATTTGAAAGAATTTCATAATTTACTTAAAAATTCTTCCAAATATATATATTTATTAAAATTAGCAGGAGAGAGGGGATAAATCATGTTTAATTGTAATAGGTCTAAATTTATCATTTGTTGGAATTTAAGGATGAACATTGCTTGAATTCAAAATTCTTCCCCTACAGCATAGTTAGTTTGTTATAATTGTAGAGTCTGTTCAAATATCTAAAAATCAGGAAGTGTTTTTTTTAACAATCTCTTATAAAAATGTCATCTTTAGAAATGGCCCTAATGATGACATTTTTATTAAAGTTCCATTAAATCAATCAAGGATTAAGGTTAAAGTGAAGTTAGTTTTTAGAGATTTTAATTAGATCTTTTTAAGAAATCTTAAGAAATTATTAATAGCTGCATTAGTTGGAAAAACAAGCAAAATAAGTAAGTTTAGATAAAGCAAGGTGATTTATAGAAAGTAATTAACTAAATTTATAAAATTAGAACTATTATTTAAGAATTGATTATAATTTAACTTTACACTAATTAAAGAATGGTTAGAAAGCTCAGCAAAATTAACATAATACTAAAATTTACAAAATGGCAAAATTCATTTTTAATCTTTAAAAATTTTTAAATATGGGGTGGAATTGTTGAAATTATAAGTTCGAAAGGTTTTTCTTTAATATTACAAATACAATTATTTTTTGACTTGTTTTAGTTAATAAAAATTTTTCAAAACATAGGTTCTTTTGTTTCTTGAAATTAAGATTTTGGAAGTAGAAGTAGAATAAAAATATGTCTGATATACAAAATATATTGTTGTTCAAACAAAGTAGGTAGGAATATGGTAATGGTCATCTTTATTTTCTTTTGTAAGTAAAACATAGAAATTATAATTCAATATTCAATCTAATCCAAAGATTTCTTGATGAATGGTAAAGTAGATGATAATTGGTTATTCATTTATTGTATTGATCAAGAAAAAAGGATGTGATTGTGATGTTTTTCTTATAAACTATTTAAAAGAATTCCACAATATGCCTATTGGATTCAACTGGGTGTGTCAGGTGGTAATCAAATGTTTACACAATTCTATAATTTTGCCACTTCTTTTACTTGTGTTTAAGACTATTATCAAGAAAAAATACAAAAGCCTTGCCATCATAGTGCAGTTTTAACACCCTAGTTCATTAAATAAGGTGATAACAACAAACTTTACTATTCACACAACCTAATTGACTTTTAAAAGCTAAAATTATTTTTACTCCCAATTGACCCTAATACTACAATAGTATCTGTTTTGTTGTGATAATCAGAAATCTTAATTTACTGATATTTGCCTATATCTATTTTGTATTTTGTCCATTAGTTCTAATATTCAATCAGAAATATATAGTTATATTTAAATAAATTATTACAAAGCAAACGTATGAATTTAATCTTCTTGTGGTTTCATAAAAATCGTTTATTTGCACTAATGATGAATGCTATATTAGAAAAATATTAATGGTGAGATAATAAATGTTGGTTAATTTAAAGACAACTTATAAGGCTTCTTATTTGTTCTTGATAATCGTCCTATACACAAGTAAAAAGAGTAGCAGAATTATACATTTGTTTACCACCATACACACCCAGTTTAACCCAATAGAAAGACTGCGGAATACTTTTAAATAGTTTATTAGAAAAAAATCAAAAACACATATCCTAATGGATAAATTAATTAATCCCTAATGCATTACAGAGGAATAATTGAATAACTGCGTGTAACTTATTTTAAGATTTGCCTTAATATAATTGTTTTTCATTCATTTTTTAACGTATATTGTTCTTTTTGTATCATTAAATAGATTATACTTGTATCAATAATTGAAATTTGTACCTTCTGCTTTTAAGAAAAAATTAATTGCTGAAATGCTGTCGTTTTTATATTCCTCTTTTTTCAAAATTAACCTGTAACTGAATATTATCTTTCTTTTTTGTTTAAAACTTTGGATGCAGTTCAAACAAAAGGTAAAAAAGTATCAGCTGAATAAAATTTATTCATTTATTTTCAAAATGGTTTGTGGTTTTCTAAAGTAATTCTACAATGACATTCTGGATATATTAATTCCACATACCCTGATCTAAAAAAGTGTATATAATTTAAGAATTAAGGTTTAATAAAATCAATTTTGAAAACTAACTTTAAATAGATTTCATAAGTCAACCATAATTATTAATTACAAAACAATATTAAAAGCCGATCTAAAAGCATGAAATATTTAATTAAAAAAAGCTTAAAATAAAACTATAGTAATTCGAAGCGTGTTTGATTCACTAATAAATACTTAACTTTTACGCCAATAGTTTAAGATTTTTGTTAATAAATTCTATTGAGATTGAATCGATTTTTGAGTAAAGATTATTAAATTGTGAAAAGAAATTATTCTGTTCAATTTATTACTTATAAATTTATGGAAATTAAAATTTAGATCTCCATTTATCTTGAAATGGTAGGCTTGCTCAATAAAATAGTGGTATTTTAGTGACTTAATATAACTAAGGTCTATCATTAAAATTTAGGTTGTTCTGTTAATAATTGTATTTTTATCTAATATTATGTATATTTTGCAAAATGAGATTGTAAATGTCATAAATTAAGGAAAAAAATTATAACCCCAAACAATAACACATTGTATAAAATTAAATTACAAATCTTTCCCTTAAAAATTGTAAAATAACATTTTAAAATGGTATACTAAATAAATCAAATAGTTATATTTTATTGTATAAAATTAGAAAAAGAGACTATTTCAACTCATTCATTGTTTTTATAAAAATTACACAAAAAGATAACTGATTTTGATAGATATTTTGTATTAAATTGCGAATAATAGTAATAATATACAACACTTTTTAATGGTTTATAAGGTAAAATCACAAATAACATTTACAAACTTGATAAAGTTATACAAAATTATTTTAAAAGCAATACAGATGAAGAATTAGATAGCCCTAATTATTCACAAATGCACACCACTTCTCAAGAAATTTTAGAATTCAAATTTCATTTGATTTTACTAGATATTATTGAAAAATTGACTTTTGTTTGAAAAATACTTATATGAATCTAACATGTTTAGCAATATTAAGATAGGTTAACAATTCAAAGTGATTTATTTATTTGTTTGTTTATGAATTACCCTATAGTGAATAATATAACATATTATTGGTTTTACATTTAAATATACATGTAAATGTCTAAATTAATTTATTAAATAACCAACCATCAATACATAAGAATTTATTGTATAAGTAAATATTTCATCTGTAATATCCTTGATCTAGAAACAATTATCAATTCTTTTTGATAGAACAACCAAAACATTATTCACAGGTATGCTTAGAAATAATATGTCAAAAAAGCAAAAATTGATCCAGTGTTTCTGCTCTTATGAACTAATGTTTCGGTACGAAAAGCCAGATTAATAATTTATTGATGCTAAAAATGGCTTTAATGCTTCATTTATTGTATATGAAACAAATGCTAATTATTGTGATATATCAAAAATCACATTCAGGTCAGAATAAATGAAAGATCTAAGTTTTCCAAATGTTAATGATGTATGGGTGGAAACTATATATTAATGATGAAACTAAATGATTTTCTAGATCTTAATCTTTAAAAACAAATAAATTAGAATCAAGTGTTGCTGTAATATGCAGCAAATAATCCTTTTGATGATAGATACAAAGTAAATCACCTCAAGAATATTAATGGTGGTTTGTAACTAACAGGATTAGCATGGATATCTAACATAAGAAAATTCATTATTACATTATTAAAAATAAAGAAAAAATATTGAATTAAGATGATTGAATCCAATAAAGTATATCACAAGCAATTTCGTATAATTCTAAGGAAGGAACTATAACATTCTATTACTCCATTTATGTTTTATTTTATATTTTAATAAATCTAAACTAAGATTTAGTTTTCAAACTGCTGAATTTTCTGAAATAATTTCAATATTCTACTTATATATTTAATAGAAGAGGAGGTAAAACTTTAAATGAACTATGCTTAGCGTTCATTCATTTCTTATTTATGGGACTCAAAGTCATGTTTTACAGAATGCAAAAGAGTTTGGAGATCTCTCATCGTTCGTATTTCTGGCAATATAAATGAGGTCTTTTCAAAATTAAATTTTCTAACAAATAAATCAATTAATTATTGAATTTTCTCATTGATAAATGAACTACTTTATTTTGGTTTCTTAGAGTTATTTTTTGACATCATTAGCCTCTCATTCAAAATATCCTCATACTTCAGTTCTGGTATAACTTATAAATCAAAATCTAATTCAAATAATATCACAATAATTAAGGCTAATCTTTGTTAATGGCATCTGAAAAGTAGGAATATTAGGTCTTTACAAAAGTTGAAACTTTCTAAAGCGATTTCTTTATCAATTTTCAATTAATCTTCTCTTAATTACTTTACTTTTTCAAGCAATTCTGCACTCAAAGGCCAGCCTAATAGAAGTAAAAAAATATCTTACAAAGAGATTTTGTTTAAAATTTTATTGCTTAGATGCTGTTTTATTTAAATTATTCATTGTTCAAAAATTATAGAATGAAATTCTCTTAAAGCAATTCTGACGCTTAATCCATTATATAATTGTAGAATCTCTTCAAAATTATGATATAAGTCTTTTATGTAGTACGTCTTTTATTAATTACACAAGTTATCTTTTGTAGACATTTTCCAAAGTAATTATTCAAATCTTATTTAGATAAATAAATACACTCTTTGCTTTATTGTTTTAAATCCTTAGCTTTTTATAGATGAAATAATTTTTGTTTTTTCACTTGTTGATCTATAGGATCAAATTCGCCAAAGGTTCTATTATTACAACCCAACTGAAAAAGTATTTCATATTAACAATTTAAATGACCATTCGATAATAAATGATCATTCAATGCTTGTTCGATTGGTAATTTTGTTGGAAATATTAATTTTTGTTAACAAACTTGGCATTAATATTCATTCTCCGATATCTATAGGAAATACTGCAATTTAGACTAATTTCTTTAACAATTCATGTTTTAAGGATTTAAATAATAATTATTCATTAGCTAAATTTGAATTATAAATTAACTAGGAATATTTTAGTTGAAAAATGAATAATACAATATCCTCCATTCATTAAATAACAAACCTATGTAAATAAATATGTTAATGATTAGTGCAAGAATGATTTAATAAACATAGTTATTAATATTTGCCATAATTGATTATCGATTAATGAATAATTTATTTATTTTTGAATTAGAAATAGAATCCTAAAACTGATCTAATGTAATAACTAGAACTTAATTATGAAATCATTATGTGAAATTTCAAGAAATACATATTTTCAAAAAATGTAGAATGAATGTTTCAGAAGCAAATGTAAAACCAAAAAAGTTATCATACAATTTTGAAATTGTGTTGGTTTGAATTATATTTTAATTGTATATGAATGCGTTATTATTTGGGGCTTATCAGTGTTTTTTTCTTAAATTTATAACATAGATTATAGATATATTTACGGTTGAACTTTCAGATAAATGGAGCAAATAATAAGACTGATTTATGTAGTGCTGGGCAATAGCCAATCTCATCTGCAAAATATAAATAATATTATATCAATATACAATAATTAACAGAAAAACTCATAATTTTAATTAATATATTTGAAATATACTAAGTCAATAAAATACAACTATTTTATTGACTTAGTATAAAATATTAAATAATAACAATAATTATTATATAAAAAAATAAAAATTATAATTTATATTAAATTTGGGAAATCCATTAAATTGATTGATTTGTGAACAAAAC